AGGGAGGGGCGTGAGGGGGCGGGGCGTGAGAGGGAGGGGCGTGAGGGGGCGGGGCGTGAAAGGGAGGGGCGTGAGAGGGAGGGGCGTGAGGGGGCGGGGCGTGAGAGGGAGGGGCGTGAGGGGGCGGGGCGTGAAAGGGAGGGGCGTGAGAGGGAGGGGCGTGAGGGGGCGGGGCGTGAGAGGGAGGGGCGTGAGGGGGCGGGGCGTGAAAGGGAGGGGCGTGAGAGGGAGGGGCGTGAGGGGGCGGGGCGTGAGAGGGAGGGGCGTGAGGGGGCGGGGCGTGAAAGGGAGGGGCGTGAGAGGGAGGGGCGTGAGGGGGAGAGGCGCGAGGGGGGGGGGGCGAGAGGGGGGGGTGTGTGTGAGTGAGTGAGTGTGAGAGTGTGAGTGAGTGAGTGTGTGAGAGTGAGTGTGAGAGTGAGTGAGTGTGAGAGTGAGTGAGTGTGAGAGTGTGTGAGTGAGTGAGTGTGTGAGAGTGAGTGAGTGAGTGTGTGAGAGTGAGTGTGTGAGTGAGTGTGAGAGTGAGTGAGTGAGTGTGAGAGTGTGTGAGTGAGTGTGTGAGAGTGAGTGTGTGTGTGAGTGAGTGTGTAAGTGAGTGTGTGAGAGTGAGTGTGTGTGTGAGTGTGAGAGTGTGTGAGTGAGTGTGTGAGAGTGAGTGTGAGTGTGTGAGTGAGTGTGTGAGAGTGAGTGTGAGAGTATGTGAGTGAGTGTGTGAGAGTGAGTGAGTGAGTGTGTGAGTGAGTGTGTGAGTGAGTGAGTGTGTGAGTGAGTGTGAGAGTGAGTGTGTGTGAGTGTGTGAGTGAGTGTGAGTGAGTGAGAGTGAGTGAGAGTGCGTAAGTGAGTGAGTGTGTGAGAGTGAGTGAGTGTGTGAGTGAGTGTGTGAGGGTGAGTGAGTGAGTGTGAGTGAGTGTGAGTACCTGTGAGTGTCACACACGTAGCAGTGCGTGGAGGTGGACACGAGCAGCTGTCCGAGTGAGTGGTGGAGTTGGACGACTGCGGAGTTCAGAGTCACCACCACCTTGGTGGTGGACAACGAGAATCCTGCTCCTGATCTTCCTCCTCCTACTCCTCGCTATCATCACAACCACAGGGAGCAGAGGGGTGGGTGGGTGGGTGAGTGAGTGGGTGGGTGGGTGAGTGGGTGGGTGAGTGGGTGAGTGGGTGGGTGGGTGAGTGGGTGGGTGGGTGGGTGAGTGAGTGGGTGAGTGGGTGAGTGGGTGAGTGAGTGGGTGATTAAGTGGGTGGGTGGGTGAGTGAGTGGGTGGGTGGGTGAGTGAGTGGGTGAGTGGGTGAGTGGGTGAGTGAGTGGGTGAGTAAGTGGGTGGGTGGGTGGGTGAGTGGGTGAGTGAGTGGGTGAGTGGGTGGATGGGTGAGTGGGTGGGTGGGTGAGTGGGTGGGTGGGTGAGTGAGTGGGTGAGTGGGTGAGTGGGTGAGTGAGTAAGTGGGTGGGTGGGTGGGTGAGTGAGTGGGTGAGTGAGTGGGTGGGTGAGTGGGTAAGTGGGTGGATGGGTGGGTGAGTGGGTGGGTGGGTGAGTGGGTGGGTGAGTGGGTGGGTGGGTGAGTGGGTGGGTGGGTGAGTAAGTGGGTGGGTGGGTGAGTGGGTGGGTGAGTGGGTGGGTGAGTGAGTGGGTGAGTGGGTGGGTGAGTGGGTGAGTGGGTGAGTGGGTGGGTGGGTGAGTGGGTGGGTGGGTGGGTGAGTGGGTGGGTGGGTGAGTGGGTGGGTGGGTGGGTGAGTGGGTGGGTGGGTGGGTGAGTGGGTGGGTGGGTGGGTGAGTGAGTGAGTGAGTGGGTGGGTGAGTGAGTGGGTGGGTGGGTGAGTGAGTGGGTGAGTGGGTGAGTGAGTGGGTGAGTAAGTGGGTGGGTGGGTGGGTGAGTGAGTGGGTGAGTGAGTGGGTGAGTGGGTGGGTGAGTGGGTGGATGGGTGGGTGAGTGGGTGGGTGAGTGGGTGGGTGGGTGGGTGAGTGGGTGAGTAAGTGGGTGGGTGGGTGAGTGGGTGGGTGAGTGAGTGGGTGAGTGGGTGAGTGGGTGAGTGAGTGAGTGGGTGGGTGGGTGAGTGGGTGGGTGGGTGAGTGAGTGGGTGGGTGAGTGGGTGAGTGAGTGGGTGGGAGAGTGAGTGAATGGCTGGGTGAGTGGGTGGGTGGGAGAGTGAGTGGGTGGGTGAGTGAGTGAGGAAGTAAGTGGCTGGGTGAGTGAATGGCTGGGTGAGTGGGTGAGTGAGTGATTGGTTGAGTTAGTGGGTGGGAGAGTGAGTGAGTGGGTGGGTTAGTGGGTGGGAGAGTGAGTGAGTGGGTGGGTGGGAGAGTGAGTGAGTGGGTGAGTGAGTGAGTGGGTGGGTGAGTGGGTGAGTGAGTGAGTGGGTGGGTGGGTGAGTGGGTGGGTGAGTGAGTGGGTGGGTGAGTTAATGGCTGGGTGAGTGAGTGGGTGGCTGGGTGAGTGGGTGAGTGAGTGAGTGAGTGGGTGAGTGAGTGGGTGGGTGGGTGATTGAGTGGGTGGGTGGGTGATTGAGTGGGTGAGTGAGTGAGTGGGTGGGTGAGTGAATGGCTGGGTGAGTGAGTGGGTGGCTGGGTGAGTGGGTGAGTGAGTGAGTGAGTGGGTGAGTGAGTGGGTGAGTAAGTGGCTGGGTGAGTAAGTGGCTGGGTGAGTGAATGGCTGGGTGAGTGGGTGAGTGAGTGATTGGTTGAGTTAGTATCTATGTATCCGTGTGTCTCTACGCGTCTCTGTGTCTCTATGCATGTCTCCGTGTCTCCGTGTCTCTGTGTCTCCGTGTCTCCGTGTCTCCGTGTCTCCCCTCCCGTGGGAATCCCTCTCGGGGTGTCTGTGTGCGTTGTCCACCTTCCCATGGCCAAGTCCGGTGACGGACACGCGCCCGGCAGAGTCTCCGACGTAGACCCGCGTCTCTCCCCGCGTCTCTCCCCGCGTCTCTCCCCACGTCTCTCCCCGTGTCTCTCCCCGCGTCTCTCCCCGCGTCTCTCCCCGCGTCTCTCCCCGCGTCTCTCCCCGCGTCTCTCCCCGCGTCTCTCCCCGCGTCTCTCCCCGCGTCTCTCCCCGCGTCTCTCCCCGCGTCTCTCCCCGCGTCTCTCCCCGCGTCTCTCCCCGCGTCTCTCCCCGCGTCTCTCCCCGCGTCTCTCCCCGCGTCTCTCCCCGCGTCTCTCCCCGCGTCTCTCCCCGCGTCTCTCCCCGCGTCTCTCCCCGCGTCTCTCCCCGTGTCTCTCCCCGTGTCTCTCCCCGTGTCTCTCCCCGTGTCTCTCCCCGCGTCTCTCCCCGTGTCTCTCCCCGTGTCTCTCCCCGCGTCTCTCCCCGCGTCTCTCCCCGTGTCTCCACGCTATTCCACGCCATCGCAGAGACGGCTGCGCCGCGGTGCAGCCACGAGACACGGACACGGCGCGGACAGCTGTCTCCACGCGTCTCCCAGAGACACAGACAGCCCTCGCTGTGCACACAGAGACACGGGGAGACACGGGGAGACACGGGGAGACACGGTGAGACACGGAGAGACAGGGTGAGACGCACAGACAGAGTGAGACACGCGGGGAGACACGGGGAGACACGGGGAGACACGGGGAGACGCACGGACAGAGTGAGACACACGGGGAGACCCTCGCATGGAGACACGGTGAGACACGGGGGTGAGACACACGGTGAGACACACGGTGAGACACGGAGAGCCACGGTGAGACACACGGTGAGACACACGGTGAGACACGGGGGTGAGACACGGGGAGACACACGGTGAGACACGGGGAGCCACGGTGAGACACACGGTGAGACACACGGTGAGCCCCGGGGGTGAGACACGGGGAGACACACGGTGAGACACGGGGAGCCACGGTGAGACACACGGTGAGACACACGGTGAGACACGGGGGTGAGACACGGGGAGACACACGGTGAGACACGGGTGAGACACGGGGGTGAGACACACGGTGAGACACGGGGGTGAGACACGGGGGAGACACACGGTGAGACACGGGGGTGAGACACGGGGGTGAGACACGGGGGTGAGACACGGGGGTGAGACACGGGGGTGAGACAAGGGGGAGACACGGGGGTGAGACACGGGAGTGAGACACGGGGGTGAGACACGGGAGTGAGACACGGGGGTGAGACACGGGAGTGAGACACGGGGGTGAGACACGGGGGTGAGACACGGGGGTGAGACACGGGGGTGAGACACGGGGAGACCCACCTGGTTGCCACGGCGATGTATCGGTCGTCGTGGGGACAGCAGCTCACGAGCACAGCGGCTCCCTCCTGCAGAGACAGCGACCCCACATCCACCACGTGACCCCCACGTGACCCCTGTGTGACCCCCGTGTGACCCCTGTGTGACTCCCCACGTGTGACCCCCATGTGACTTCCCTCGTGTGACCCCCATGTGACCCCCACGTGACCCCCGTGTGACCCCTGTGACCCCCGTGTGACCCCCATGTGACCCCCATGTGACCCCCATGTGACCCCCATGTGACTCCCCACATGTGACCCCCATGTGACTTCCCTCGTGTGACCCCCATGTGACCCCCACGTGACCCCCGTGTGACCCCCGTGTGACCCCCGTGTGACCCCTCACCCGGTGGGCCAGGCTATGCCGGTAGCTGAGGGGGCTTCGCTGGCACAAGTGGACGACACCTCCAGACGAGACAATGGCGATCCAGCGGAGAGACACCGACACAGAGACACACTGTGTCCACACAGAGACACACAGAGACACACAGTGAGACACACAGAGACACAGTGAGACACACAGAGACACAGAGACACACAGAGACACACAAGTGGACGACACCTCCAGAGGAGACGATGGCGATCCAGCGGAGAGACACCGACACAGAGACACACTGTGTCCACACAGAGACACACAGAGACACACAGTGAGACACACAGAGACACAGTGAGACACACAGAGACACAGAGACACACAGAGACACACAAGTGGACGACACCTCCAGAGGAGACGATGGCGATCCAGCGGAGAGACACCGACACAGAGACACACTGTGTCCACACAGAGACACACAGAGACACACAGTGAGACACACAGAGACACAGTGAGACACACAGAGACACAGAGACACACAGAGACACACAAGTGGACGACACCTCCAGAGGAGACGATGGCGATCCAGCGGAGAGACACTGACACAGAGACACACTGTGTCCACACAGAGACACACAGAGACACACAGAGACACAGTGAGACACAGTGAGACACACAGAGACACAGAGACACACAGAGACACAGTGAGACACACAGAGACACAGTGAGACACAGAGACACACAGAGACACACAAGTGGACGACACCTCCAGAGGAGACGATGGCGATCCAGCGGAGAGACACCGACACAGAGACACACTGTGTCCACACAGAGACACACAGAGACACACAGTGAGACACACAGAGACACAGTGAGACACACAGAGACACAGAGACACACAGAGACACACAAGTGGACGACACCTCCAGAGGAGACGATGGCGATCCAGCGGAGAGACACTGACACAGAGACACACTGTGTCCACACAGAGACACACAGAGACACACAGAGACACAGTGAGACACAGTGAGACACACAGAGACACAGAGACACACAGAGACACAGTGAGACACACAGAGACACAGTGAGACACAGAGACACACAGAGACACACAAGTGGACGACACCTCCAGAGGAGACGATGGCGATCCAGCGGAGAGACACCGACACAGAGACACACTGTGTCCACACAGAGACACACAGAGACACAGTGAGACATACAGAGACACAGTGAGACACACAGAGACACAGAGAGACACAGTGAGACACACAGAGACACACAAGTGGACGACACCTCCAGACGAGACGATGGCGATCCAGCGGAGAGACACCGACACAGAGACACACTGTGTCCACACAGAGACACACAGAGACACAGTGAGACACACAGAGACACAGTGAGACACACAGAGACACACAAGTGGACGACACCTCCAGACGAGACGATGGCGATCCAGCGGAGAGACACCGACACAGAGACACACTGTGTCCACACAGAGACACACAGACACAGTGAGACACAGTGAGACACACAGAGACACACAGAGACACACAGAGACACACAGAGAAACACAGAGACACACAGAGACACACTGTGTCCACACGTACACACAGAGACACAGTGAGACACAGAGACACACAGAGACACACTGTGTCCACACAGAGACACACAGAGACACAGTGAGACACACAGAGACACAGTGAGACACACTGTGTCCACACGAACACACAGAGACACAGTGAGACACACAGAGACACACAAGTGGACGACACCTCCAGACGAGACAATGGCGATCCAGCAGAGAGACACCGACACAGAGACACACTGTGTCCACACGTACACACAGAGACACACAGAGACACACAGAGACACACAGAGACACAGTGAGACACACAGACAGAGTGAGACACACAGAGACACACTGTGTCCACACGTACAGAGTGAGACACAGAGACACACAGAGACACACAGATACAGAGACACACAGAGACACACTGTGTCCACACGTACACACAGAGACACACAGAGACACACAGAGACACACTGTGTCCACACGTACAGAGTGAGACACAGACACACAGAGATACACTGTGTCCACACGTACACACAGAGACGCACAGAGACACACAGAGACACACAGAGACACACTGTGTCCACACAGACACACAGAGACACAGTGAGACACACAGAGACACAGAGACACACTGTGTCCACACGTACACACAGAGACACACAGAGTGAGACACACAGAGACACACAGATACAGAGACACACAGAGACACACTGTGTCCACACGTACACACAGAGACACACAGAGACACACAGAGATACAGAGACACACAGAGACACACAGAGACACACTGTGTCCACACGTACAGAGTGAGACTCAGAGACACACAGAGACACACTGTGTCCACACAGAGACACAGTGAGACACACAGAGACACACAAGTGGACGACACCTCCAGACGAGACGATGGCGATCCAGCGGAGAGACACTGACACAGAGACACACTGTGTCCACACAGAGACACACAGAGACACAGTGAGACACACAGAGACACAGTGAGACACACAGAGACACAGAGACACACAGAGACACACAGAGACACACAGAGACACAGTGAGACACACAGAGACACACAGAGACACAGTGAGACACACAGAGACACACAAGTGGACGACACCTCCAGACGAGACAATGGCGATCCAGCGGAGAGACACCGACACAGAGACACACTGTGTCCACACAGAGACACACAGAGACACAGTGAGACACACAGAGACACAGTGAGACACACAGAGACACAGAGACACACAGAGACACACAGAGACACAGTGAGACACACAGAGACACACAGAGACACAGTGAGACACACAGAGACACAGAGACACACGGAGACACACAGAGACACAGTGAGACACACAGAGACACACAGAGACACAGTGAGACACACAGAGACACAGAGACACACAGAGACACACAGAGACACAGTGAGACACACAGAGACACACAGAGACACACAGAGACACACAGTGAGACACAGAGACACACAGAGACACACAAGTGGACGACACCTCCAGAGGAGACGATGGCGATCCAGCGGAGAGACACTGACACAGAGACACACTGTGTCCACACAGAGACACAGTGAGACACACAGAGACACACAGAGACACACTGTGTCCACACAGAGACACACAGAGACACAGTGAGACACACAGAGACACAGTGAGACACACTGTGTCCACACAGAGACACACAGAGACACAGTGAGACACAGTGAGACACACAGAGACACACAGAGACACAGTGAGACACACAGAGACACACAGACACACAGAGACACACAGAGACACACTGTGTCCACACAGAGACACAGTGAGACACACAGAGACACACAAGTGGACGACACCTCCAGAGGAGACGATGGCGATCCAGCGGAGAGACACCGACACAGAGACACACTGTGTCCACACAGAGACACACAGAGACACAGTGAGACACACAGAGACACAGTGAGACACACAGAGACACACAGAGAAACACAGAGACACACAGAGACACACTGTGTCCACACAGAGACACACAGACACAGTGAGACACAGTGAGACACACAGAGACACACAGAGACACACAGAGACACACAGAGAAACACAGAGACACACAGAGACACACTGTGTCCACACGTACACACAGAGACACAGTGAGACACAGAGACACACAGAGACACACTGTGTCCACACAGAGACACACAGAGACACAGTGAGACACACAGAGACACAGTGAGACACACTGTGTCCACACGAACACACAGAGACACAGTGAGACACACAGAGACACACAAGTGGACGACACCTCCAGACGAGACAATGGCGATCCAGCAGAGAGACACCGACACAGAGACACACTGTGTCCACACGTACACACAGAGACACACAGAGACACACAGAGACACACAGAGACACAGTGAGACACACAGACAGAGTGAGACACACAGAGACACACTGTGTCCACACGTACAGAGTGAGACACAGAGACACACAGAGACACACAGATACAGAGACACACAGAGACACACTGTGTCCACACGTACACACAGAGACACACAGAGACACACAGAGACACACTGTGTCCACACGTACAGAGTGAGACACAGACACACAGAGACACACTGTGTCCACACGTACACACAGAGACGCACAGAGACACACAGAGACACACAGAGACACACTGTGTCCACACAGACACACAGAGACACAGTGAGACACACAGAGACACAGAGACACACTGTGTCCACACGTACACACAGAGACACACAGAGTGAGACACACAGAGACACACAGATACAGAGACACACAGAGACACACTGTGTCCACACGTACACACAGAGACACACAGAGACACACAGAGATACAGAGACACACAGAGACACACAGAGACACACTGTGTCCACACGTACAGAGTGAGACTCAGAGACACACAGAGACACACAGACAGAGTGAGACACACAGAGACACAGAGACACACAGAGACACACTGTGTCCACACGGACAGAGTGAGACACACAGAGACACACAGAGACACACAGAGACACACAGAGACACACTGTGTCCACACAGACACACAGAGACACACAGAGACACACAGAGACACAGAGACACACTGTGTCCACACGTACACACAGAGACACACAGAGACACACAGAGACACACTGTGTCCACACGGACAGAGTGAGACACAGAGACACACAGAGACACACAGAGACTCACGGAGAGAGTGAGACAAAGAGACACACAGAGACACACAGAGACACTGCGTCCACACGGACAGAGTGAGACACACAGAGACACACAGAGACACACAGAGACACACTGTGTCCACACAGACACACAGAGACACAGTGAGACACACAGAGACACAGAGACACACTGTGTCCACACGTACACACAGAGACACACAGAGACACACTGTGTCCACACGGACAGAGTGAGACACAGAGACACACAGAGACACACAGAGACTCACGGAGAGAGTGAGACAAAGAGACACACAGAGACACACAGAGACACTGCGTCCACACGGACAGAGTGAGACACACAGAGACACACAGACAGAGTGAGACACACAGAGACACACAGAGACACACAGAGACACACCGTATCTACACGGACACACGGACAGAGTGAGACACACAGAGACACACAGAGACACACACAGACACACTGTGTCCACACAGACAGAGTGAGACTCAGAGACACACAGAGACACACAGAGACACACAGAGACACGCAGAGACACACTGTGTCCACACGTACAGAGTGAGACACACAGAGACACACTGTGTCCACACAGAGACACACAGAGACACACACAGACACTACGTCCACACGGACACACCACATGATACACGCTGTCTCAGCACACACGCACGGAGACACAGGGACACGCACAGAGACACCGGGACACGTACAGAGACACGCACAGGGACACGTGGGGACACGTGGGGACACGTGGGGACACGCGGGGACACGGAGGAGACACAGGGATACATTGTGACTGGTGTTCGCTGCTGATGATGCTGCTGATGATGATGGTGCTGATGATGGTGCTGATAATGATGATGGTGGTGGTGCTGATGATGATGGTGCTGATGATGGTGCTGCTGATGATGATGGTGCTGCTGATGATGGTGCTGATGATGATAGTGCTGATGATGATGACGCTGATAATGATGATGAATGCGCTGATGATGATGATGGCGCTGATAAAGATTATGGTGCTGGTGCTGATGATGGTGCTGATGATGATGGTGGTGATGATGGTGCTGATGATGATCATGCTGATGCTGATGATGCTGATGGTGATGATGGTGCTGATGGTGATGATGGTGCTGATGCTGCTGATGATGGTGCTGATTATGATGATGGTGCTGATGATGATACTGATGATGATGATGCTGATGATTATGGTGCTGATGATGATGAGGGTGCTGATGATGATGATGGTGATGATGGTGCTGATGATTATGATGGTGCTGATGATGATGATGGTGCTGATGATGATGGTGCTGATGATGATGGTGCTGCTGATGATGATGCTGATGATGATGATGGTGCTGATGATGGTGCTGATGATGATGATGGTGCTGATGATGGTGCTGATGATGATGGTGCTGATGATGATGGCGCTGATAATGATGATGGTGCTGATGATGATGGCGCTGATAATGATGGTGCTGATGGTGATGATTGTGCTGATGATTGTGCTTATGGTGATGATTGTGCTGATGGTGATGATTGTGTTGATGATGCTCATGATGATGATGGTGCTGATGATTATGGTGCTGATGATTATGGTGCTGATGATTATGGTGCTGATGATGATGATGGTGCTGCTGATGATGATGGTGCTGATGATGATGATGGTGCTGCTGCTGATGATGGTGCTGATAATGATGAATGCGCTGATGATGATGATGGCGCTGATAAAGATTATGGTGCTGGTGCTGATGATGGTGCTGATGATGATGGTGGTGATGATGGTGCTGATGATGATCATGCTGATGCTGATGATGCTGATGGTGCTGATGATGGTGCTGATGATGGTGCTGATGCTGCTGATGATGGTGCTGATGATGATGGTGCTGATGCTGATGATGGTGCTGATGATGATGCTGATGATGCCGATGATGATGGTGCTGATGATGATGATGGTGCTGATGATGATGAGGGTGCTGATGATGATGAGGGTGCTGCTGATGATGATGGTGCTGATGATGATGATGGTGCTGATGATGGTGCTGCTGATGATGATGGTGCTGCTGATGATGATGCTGCTGATGATGGTGCTGATGATGATGCTGATGATGATGGTGCTGATGATGATGGTGCTGATGATGATGGTGCTGATGATGATGATGGTGCTGATGATGGTGCTGATGATGATGGTGCTGATGATGATGCTGATGATGGTGCTGATGATGATGGTGCTGATAATGGTGCTGATGATGATGATGGTGCTGATGATGCTGATGATGGTGCTGATGATGATGGTGCTGCTGATGATGATGCTGCTGATGATGGTGCTGATGATGGTGCTGATGATGGTGCTGATGATGATGATGGTGCTGATGATGATGATGGTGCTGATGATGATGATGGTGCTGATGATGATGATGGTGCTGATGATGATGATGGTGCTGATGATGATGGTGCTGATGATGATGGTGCTGATAATGATGATGGTGCTGATGATGATGGTGCTGATGATGATGATGGTGCTGATGATGATGATGGTGCTGATAATGATGATGGTGCTGATGATGATGGTGCTGATAATGATGATGGTGCTGATGATGATGGTGCTGCTGCTGATGATGATGATGGTGCTGATGATGATGGTGCTGATGATGATGGTGCTGATGATGATGGTGATGATGATGATGGTGCTGATGATGATGATGGTGCTGATGATGGTGCTGATGATGATGGTGCTGCTGATGATGATGCTGATGATGATGATGGTGCTGATGATGGTGCTGATGATGATGATGGTGCTGATGATGGTGCTGATGATGATGGTGCTGATGATGATGGCGCTGATAATGATGATGGTGCTGATGATGATGGCGCTGATAATGATGGTGCTGATGGTGATGATTGTGCTGATGATTGTGCTTATGGTGATGATTGTGCTGATGGTGATGATTGTGTTGATGATGCTCATGATGATGATGGTGCTGATGATTATGGTGCTGATGATTATGGTGCTGATGATTATGGTGCTGATGATGATGATGGTGCTGCTGATGATGATGGTGCTGATGATGATGATGGTGCTGCTGCTGATGATGGCGCTGATAATGATGATGAATGCGCTGATGATGATGATGGCGCTGATAAAGATTATGGTGCTGGTGCTGATGATGGTGCTGATGATGATGGTGGTGATTATGGTGCTGATGATGATCATGCTGATGCTGATGATGCTGATGGTGCTGATGATGGTGCTGATGCTGCTGATGATGGTGCTGATGATGATGATGGTGCTGATGCTGATGATGGTGCTGATGATGATGCTGATGATGCCGATGATGATGGTGCTGATGATGATGATGGTGCTGATGATGATGAGGGTGCTGATGATGATGAGGGTGCTGCTGATGATGATGGTGCTGATGATGATGATGATGGTGCTGATGATGATGGTGCTGCTGATGATGATGGTGCTGCTGATGATGATGCTGCTGATGATGGTGCTGATGATGATGCTGATGATGATGGTGCTGATGATGATGATGGTGCTGATGATGATGGTGCTGATGATGATGATGGTGCTGATGATGGTGCTGATGATGATGGTGCTGATGATGATGCTGATGATGGTGCTGATGATGATGGTGCTGATAATGGTGCTGATGATGATGATGGTGCTGATGATGCTGATGATGGTGCTGATGATGATGGTGCTGCTGATGATGATGCTGCTGATGATGGTGCTGATGATGGTGCTGATGATGGTGCTGATGATGATGATGGTGCTGATGATGATGGTGCTGATGATGATGGTGCTGATGATGATGGTGCTGATGATGATGGTGCTGATGATGGTGCTGATGATGATGGTGCTGATAATGATGATGGTGCTGATAATGATGATGGTGCTGATGATGATGGTGCTGATGATGATGATGATGGTGCTGATGATGATGATGGTGCTGATGATGATGATGGTGCTGATAATGATGATGGTGCTGATGATGATGGTGCTGATAATGATGATGGTGCTGATGATGATGGTGCTGATGATGATGGTGCTGATGATGATGATGGTGCTGATGATGATGGTGCTGATGATGATGGTGATGATGATGATGGTGCTGATGATGATGATGGTGCTGATAATGATGATGGTGCTGATGATGATGGTGCTGATAATGATGATGGTGCTGATAATGATGATGGTGCTGATGATGATGGTGGTGCTGATGATGATGATGGTGCTGATGATGATGATGGTGCTGATGATGATGGTGCTGATGATGATGGTGATGATGATGGTGATGATGATGGTGATGATGATGATGGTGATGATGATGATGATGCTGCTGATGATGATGGTGCTGATGATGATGATGGTGCTGCTGATGATGATGGTGCTGATGATGATGATGCTGATGATGATGATGGTGCTGCTGATGATGATGGTGCTGCTGATGATGGTGCTGATGATGATGATGGTGCTGCTGATGATGATGGTGCTGATGATGATGATGGTGCTGATGATGATGATGGTGCTGCTGATGATGATGGTGCTGATGATGATGGTGCTGATGATGATGGTGCTGATGATGATGATGCTGATGATGATGGTGCTGATGATGATGATGATGCTGATGATGATGGTGCTGATAATGATGATGGTGCTGATGGTGCTGATGCTGCTGGCTGCACCCGGAGTCTGGAGGAGCCGAGGTGCAGCGCTGAGATCAACCCGTCCAGCCAATCCAGTTCCACCAGCACCAGGGGGGAGGGGCCTGGCGGGCACGCCCCGCCCACTTCCACCGATGCTCCGCCCACTCCGTGCGCAGTGGATGGCGGCGAGGTACCGTCCACCTCGGATGTAGCTCCTCCCCCGCTCCCCGAAGCGCCGCCCACCTCGCCCGTGGGCCCGCCCCCCTCAGTGGCAATTTCCGTTTCCATGACGATGCTTGGGAATGGGGGGATGGGGAAGTAGGGGGGGGGGGGGGCAAGGAGGGGGAGGAGGGGGGAGGAGGGGGGAGGAGGAGGGGGGGGAGGAGGGGGGGGGAGGAGGGAGGGGAGGAGGGGGGGGAGGAGGGGGGGGAGGAGGGGGCAAGGAGGGGGAGGAGGAGGAGGGGAGGAGGAGGGGGGGGAGGAGGGGGGGAGGAGGGGGGGGAGGAGGGGGGGGAGGAGGGGGGGAGGAGGGGGGGGGGAGGAGGAGGGGGGGGAGGAGGGGGGGAGGAGGAGGGGGGGAGGAGGGGACAAGGAGGGGGAGGAGGAGGGGGGGAGGAGGGGGGGAGGCGGAGGAGGGGGAGGAGGGGGGGAGGAGGAGGGGGGGGAGGAGGAGGGGGGGGAGGAGGAGGGGGGGAGGAGGAGGAGGAGGGGGGGAGGAGGAGGGGGGAGGAGGGGGGGGAAGAAACATCGTGGCACAAAGTGGGGATGACCCTGCTGAGGCTGCGGTGCCTCCAATATTGGAAGAAGTCACCCCCTGTGAATGGCTGGCTGAGGTGCCATCTGTTGAGGAAGTACTGAAGGCGATCCAGAGTCTGAGACCAGGAAAGGCAGCGGGTAGAGATGATCTCCCAAGCGAAATGCTGAGGGAGGGTGGCGTTTGTGCACAGACTGCCCTATATGACATCATAACAACGGTCTGGACCACTGGACGGGTTCCGCAGGATTGGAAGGATGCCCTGGTGGTCCCCCTCTTTAAGAAGGGGGACCGCACAGACTGTAACAACTACAGGGGCATCTCACTCCTCAGTGTGCCGGGAAAGGTCCTGGCAAGGATTATTCAACATCGCCTTGCCAGGCACGCTGAGGAGAGGCTTGCGGAGCCCCAATGCGGTTTCAGGAAAGGGCGGGTCCTGCACAGATGCCATATTTTCTGTCCGTCTGCTACAGCAGAGGTGTAGGGAATTCCAACAAGACCTACATCTCTGCTTTATTGACCTGGTCAAGGCCTATGATACCATCAGTAGGCCTGGGCTGTGGGTTGTTCTTCGTGCTTTTGGAGTACCTGACGCTCTGCTCACGATCATTAAGGACCTTCATGATGGTGAGCGGGCCCGGGTAAAACTACGTGGCCGGGAGTGACATGGATGTCCTCTATTTCAACCAGATAGTTCGTGAAGCCTTCAATAGCTCTACCGGGGGAATCTCCATCTGGTACAGATACAATGGGAGGCTGATCGATGCCCCGGTGCGGTCAAGGGATGGCTTCCTATTGCTCAACCACGTTATGTATGCTGATGGTCTGGTGATTGCTGCTCACTCAGAGGAGGAGTTGGAGACGCTGCTGCTGAGACTGGAGCGTGCCACTAAGAGATGGGGCCTTACCATCAGCACCACCAAAACTAAGCACCTGCCTGGGTATTTTGTACCATCGGACACTCCACCCCCACAACTCCCAATTGGTGATAGTGGAGAGTTTCCCATACCTGGGCAGTGTGCTCATGAATGGCTCTGGTTTAACAGCAGAGGTCTCACTCCGAATCAGTCGAGCGGCAATATCTTTTCATCGGTTGCGTAACGCTGTGTGGAAGCTACCTGGTCTGTCGCTCCGGACTAAGCTTCAGGTCTTCTCGCTTGCGAAACGTGGACCCCTCTAATGGAACATCTTCGCCGATTAGAAACATTTAGGCTGGCCTGCCTACGATCCATCCTGGGTTTAACCAGGCTGGATTGTGCGAGGAGCTCACAAATCCTTGAAAGATCTGGGCACAGTCCCATCGGTGAGCTCCTCCGGCGGGCAAGGCTGCGTTGGCTGGGTCATGTAGCCAGCATGCCCAGCCACCGCATGCCAAAACAGCTTTTGTTCGGCCGGATAGAGGGGGCATAAATAAGCGCGGCACGGGCTAGAGAAGAGATGGAGTGATGTGGTACAGGAGGACGTGGAGCTGAGTGGACTTGCCGATGACTGGTACCAGCTGTGTCAAGTTCGGCCTCTGTGGACGAGGCTCGTGAAGGACGCTACTGGGCAGTTGAAGGCAGTCGCCCTCCAACAGCAACGGAGGGCGGAGGAGCGACGCTCACAACGAGCGGAGCGCCGGGTGGCTAAAGCACAACAGGTTGGCACAGTAGGGGGCACAGGTGGTGCATCAGCCAGTCATCTCAGTCAGTCGACCCGTGGCACCTGGGTCTGCGCCGTAACCTCCTGCCAGCGGGCGTTCGACACTTCACGTGGCCTCAAAGTGCACCTAGCCTGGCACAAGCGTCGTGGTGAAGTCACCGCCACTTAGCGGCGAATGGCGGTTGTTGTTGTAACTTTCTAACCCCCGTGCCCATACCTGAAATCTGTAGAATAAGAGGGGGTAGAGGTGACCAGCACCATGCCCGGCCGCCTTTGTCTCCCCAGTGGCGATGTTTACGGCACACCACCGCTACACCAGCTACTCATGTGAGGCCCAGGGACTGGTTCAGATCACCGCGATCACCGTGTGTATCGGTGATCGCGGTGGCCGTGATCACCGGGTGTATCGGCGGTGGTGGCCATGAGCAGGAAACCAACTTGGGTCTCTGCTGGGTTTGTAGTGCAGTGAAGCGCTAACCGCTGCCACTACTACTACCACTACTACCACTATTACCACTACTACCACTACTACTACCACTACTACCACTATTACCACTACTACAACTACCACTATTACCACTACTACCACTACTACTACCACTATTACCACTACTACAACTACTACTACCACTACTACTACCACTACTACAACTACTACTAGCACTAACTACTACTACTACTACCACTACTACCACTATTACCACTACTACCACTACTACTACCACTACCACTACTACCACTATTACCACCACTACTATCACTACTACAACTACTACTACTACCACTATTACCACTACTACTACCACTACGACCACTATTACCACCACTACTACCACTACTACTACTATTACTACCAACTACTACCACTACTACCACTATTACTACTACCACTACTACTACCACTACTACTACCACTATTACCACTACCACTATTACCACTACTACTACCACTACTACTACCACTACTACTACCACTACTATCACTACTACAACTACCACTACTACTACTACCACTACCACTACTATCACTACTACAACTACTACTACCACTATTACTACCACTACTACCACTATTACCACCACTACAACCACTACTACTACCACTACTACTACCACTATTACCACCACTACTACTACTACCACTACTATCACTACTACTACCACTATTACCACTACTACTACTACCACTACTATCACTACTACTACCACTATTACCACTACTACTACCAATATTACCACTACTACTACCACTACTACCACTACTACTACCACTACTACTATTACCACTACTACTACCACTATTACCACTACTACTACTACCACTACTACTACCACTACTACCACTACTACTACCACTACTACCACTACCACCACTACTACTACCACTACTACCGCCACTACTACAACCACTACTACCACTACTACTACTACCACTACTACTACCACTATTACCACCACTACTACTACTACTACCAATACTACTACCACTACTACTACTATTACTACCAACTACTACCACTACTATTACCACTATTACTACTACCACTATTACTATCACTACTACCACTACTACCACTATTACCACCACTACTACTACCACTACTGCCACTACTACCACTACCACCACTACTACTACCACTACTACTACAACCACTACTACCACTATTACCACCACTACTACTACAACCACTACTACTACAACCACTACTACTACCACTACTACTACCACTATTACTACTGCCACTACTACCACCACTACCACCACTACTACCACTACTACTACTACCACTATTACCACCACTACTACCACTACTACTGCCACTACTACTACCACTACTACTCCTGTATACCAGGCGAGGTAGTCAACATCTCTCGTCAGGACCCACGACCTCCTGTAGACCAGGCGAGGTAGTCAACATCTCTAGTCAGGACCCACGACCTCCTGTAGGCCAGGCGAGGTAGTCAACATCTCTCGTCAGGACCCACGACCTCCTGTATACCAGGCGAGGTAGTCAACATCTCTAGTCAGGACTCACGACCTCCTGTAGACCAGGCGAGGTAGTCAACATCTCTAGACAGGACCCACGACCTCCTGTAGGCCAGGCGAGGTAGTCAACATCTCTAGTCAGGACCTCCTGTAGACCAGGCGAGGTAGTCAACATCTCTAGTCAGGACCTCCTGTGTACCGGGCGAGGTAGTCAACATCTCTCGTCAGCCCGTAAACATTTAAAATCGACGGCGGGGATCCAGCAATTAGAGGATTAAAGTGAGAGCACAAAACGGGCATTGTAATCTAAACGATCGGAGCGTTACCACGCGTACAGCAGCAGCGGAGACGAAGACGACGATGATGATGAAGACGATGATGATGACGATGATGATGATGACGAAGACGATGATGATGATGATGACGAAGACGATGATGATGATGACAGCGGCAGCTTTGTAAGTCGCGAGCGACACTGAAAGTTGAAATCGACAGCCCCACGACCCCGTGACTCGCACGCCTCTGTGGGGAGTGGCGACCCGCGCACTGTACGCCTACTGTAGAGCCCACGCACTGTACACGCAGTGTAGCGCACTGTACAGCCCACGCACTGTACACGCACTGTAGAGTCCGCGCACTGTACGTGCACTGTAAGCGCGCCGCGCACTGTATGTGTACTGTAAGTGTACTTACTGTACGTACTGTATCGACGGTGGAGACGCGGCACTGCGACGCGAGTTAAAGGGAGAGTTAAAGGGAGAGTTAAATGGAGAGTTAAAGGGAGAGTTAAAGGAGAGTTAAATGGAGAGTTAAAGGAGAGTTAAATGGAGAGTGTGAGGGAGAGTTAAATGGAGAGTTAAAGGGAGAGTTAAATGGAGAGTGTGAGGGAGAGTTAAAGGAAGAGTTAAATGGAGAGTTAAAGGAGAGTTAAATGGAGAGTGTGAGGGAGAGTTAAATGGAGAGAGTTAAGGGAGAGTTAAAGGGAGAGTTAAATGGAGAGTTAAAGGGAGAGTTAAAGGGAGAGTTAAATGGAGAGTGTGAGGGAGAGTTAAAGGGAGAGTTAAATGGAGTGTGAGGGAGAGTTAAATGGAGAGTTAAAGGGAGAGTTAAAGGGAGAGTTAAAGGGAGAGTTAAATGGAGAGTTAAAGGGAGAGTTAATTGGAGAGTTAAATGGAGAGTTAAAGGGAGAGTTAAATGGAGAGTTAAATGGAGAGTGTGAGGGAGAGTTAAAGGGAGAGTTAAATGGAGAGTTAAAGGAGAGTTAAATGGAGAGTGCGAGGGAGAGTTAAATGGAGAGTTAAAGGGAGAGTTAAAGGGAGAGTTAAATGGAGAGTTAAAGGGAGAGTTAAATGGAGAGTTAAAGGGAGAGTTAAATGGAGAGTTAAAGGGAGAGTTAAAGGGAGAGTTAAAGGGAGAGTTAAATGGAGAGTTAAAGGAGAGTTAAATGGAGAGTGTGAGGGAGAGTTAAATGGAGAGAGTTAAGGGAGAGTTAAAGGGAGAGTTAAATGGAGAGTGTGAGGGAGAGTTAAATGGAGAGTTAAATGGAGAGTTAAAGGGAGAGTTAAAGGGAGAGTTAAAGGGAGAGTTAAATGGAGAGTGTGAGGGAGAGTTAAAGGGAGAGTTAAATGGAGAGTTAAAGGGAGAGTTAAATGGAGAGTTAAAGGGAGAGTTAAATGGAGAGTGTGAGGGAGAGTTAAAGGGAGAGTGTGAGGGAGAGTTAAATGGAGAGTTAAAGGAGAGTTAAATGGAGAGTGCGAGGGAGAGTTAAATGGAGAGTTAAAGGGAGAGTTAAAGGGAGAGTTAAATGGAGAGTGTGAGGGAGAGTTAAAGGGAGAGTGTGAGGGAGAGTTAAATGGAGAGTTAAGGGAGAGTTAAGGGAGAGTTAAAGGGAGAGTTAAATGGAGAGTTAAATGGAGAGTTAAAGGAGAGTTAAAGGGAGAGTTAAGGGAGAGTTAAGGGAGAGTTAAAGGGAGAGTTAAAGGAGAGTTAAATGGAGAGTTAAATGGAGAGTGTGAGGGAGAGTTACATGGAGAGTTAAATGGAGAGTTAAAGGGAGAGTTAAATGGAGAGTTAAGGGAGAGTTAAGGGAGAGTTAAGGGAGAGTTAAATGGAGAGTTAAAGGGAGAGTTAAATGGAGAGTGTGAGGGAGAGTTAAATGGAGAGTTAAGGGACAGTTAAAGGGAGAGTTAAGGGAGAGTTAAATGGAGAGTGTGAGGGAGAGTTAAATGGAGAGTTAAATGGAGAGAGTTAAGGGAGAGTTAAATAGAGAGTTGAAGGAGAGTTACAGGGAGAGGTAAATGGAGAGTTAAATGAAGAGTGTGAGGGAGAGTTAATTGGAGAGTAAAATGAAGAGTTAAAGGGAGAGTTAAATGGAGAGTGTGAGGGAGAGTTAAATGGAGAGTTAAATGGAGAGTGTGAGGGAGAGTTAAATGGAGAGTTAAATGGAGAGTTAAATGGAGAGTTAAGGGAGAGTTAAGGGAGAGTTAAGGGAGAGTTAAAGGGAGAGTTAAATGGAGAGTGTGAGGGAGAGTTAAATGGAGAGTTAAATGGAGAGTTAAATGGAGAGTTAAATGGAGAGTGTGAGGGAGAGTTAAGGGAGAGTTAAAGGGAGAGTTAAAGGGAGAGTTAAATGGGGAGTGTGAGGAAGAGTTAAATGGAGAGTTAAATGGAGAGTTAAATGGAGAGTTAAGAGAGAGTTAAATGGAGAGAGTTAAATGGAGTGTTAAATGGAGAGTTAAATGGAGAGTTAAATGGAGAGAGTTAAGGGAGTGTTAAATGGAGAGTGTGAGGGAGAGTTAAATGGAGAGTTAAATGGAGAGAGTTAAGGGAGAGTTAAATAGAGAGTTGAAGGAGAGTTACAGGGAGAGGTAAATGGAGAGTTAAATGAAGAGTGTGAGGGAGAGTTAATTGGAGAGTAAAATGAAGAGTTAAAGGGAGAGTTAAATGGAGAGTGTGAGGGAGAGTTAAATGGAGAGTTAAATGGAGAGTGTGAGGGAGAGTTAAATGGAGAGTTAAATGGAGAGTTAAATGGAGAGTTAAGGGAGAGTTAAGGGAGAGTTAAGGGAGAGTTAAAGGGAGAGTTAAATGGAGAGTGTGAGGGAGAGTTAAATGGAGAGTTAAATGGAGAGGTAAATGGAGAGTTAAATGGAGAGAGTTAAGGGAGAGAGTTAAGGGAGAGTTAAATGGAGAGAGTTAAGGGAGAGTTAAATGGAGAGTCAAATGGAGAGTGTGAGGGAGAGTTTAGGGAGAGTTAAATGGAGAGTTAAGGGAGAGTTAAATGGAGAGTTTAGGGAGAGTTAAATGGAGAGTTTAGGGAGAGTTAAGGGAGAGTTAAATGGAGTTAAGGGAGAGTTAAATGGAGCGTTTAGGGAGAGTTAAGGGAGAGTTACATTGAGGGAGAGACAGAGGCAGTGGATTAGCACAGCGTCTTAATTGTTAACTAATTAATTATTTGGTTAAAATATCACCACGCTGCTACAACAGTATATCTCGTAGTGGGTGTAGTTGTGTCGTAGTAGTTGTGTAGTAGTGGTAGTTGTGTAGTAGTTGTGGTAGTTGTGTAGTAGTGTAGTTGTTGTGGTAGTTGTTGTGGTAGTTGTGTAGTAGTGGTAGTAGTTGTGGTAGTTGTGTAGTAGTGTAGTTGTTGTGGTAGTTGTGTAGTAGTTTAGTAATGGTAGTTGTGTAGTAGTTTAGTAGTGATAGTTGTTGTGGTAGTTGTGTAGTAGTGTAGTTGTTGTGGTAGTTGTTGTGGTAGTTGTTGTGGTAGTTGTGGTAGTTGTGTAGTAATGTAGTTGTGGTAGTTGTGTAGTAGTGGTAGTAGTGTAGTAATGTAGTTGTTGTGGTAGTTGTTGTGGTAGTTGTGTAGTAATGTAGTTATGGTAGTTGTTGTGGTAGTTGTTGTGGTAGTTGTTGTGGTAGTTGTGTAGTAGTTGTGGTAGTTGTTGTGGTATTTGTGTAGTAGTGTAGTTGTTGTGGTAGTTGTGTAGTAGTGGTAGTAGTGGTAGTAGTTGTGGTAGTTGTGTAGTAGTGGTAGTTGTTGTGGTAGTTGTGTAGTAGTGGTAGTTGTAGTAGTGGTAGTAGTAGTGGTAGTTGTTGTGGTAGTTGTGTAGTAGTTTTGTAGTGATAGTTGTTGTGGGAGTTGTGTAGTAGTGGTAGTTGTTGTGGTAGTTGTGTAGTAGTGGTAGTTGTTGTGGTAGTTGTGTAGTAGTGGTAGTAGTGGTAGTAGTTGTGGTAGTTGTGTAGTAGTGGTAGTTGTTGTGGTAGTTGTGTAGTAGTGGTAGTTGTAGTAGTGGTAGTAGTAGTGGTAGTTGTTGTGGTAGTTGTGTAGTAGTTTTGTAGTGATAGTTGTTGTGGGAGTTGTGTAGTAGTGGTAGTTGTTGTGGTAGTTGTGTAGTTATGGTAGTTGTTGTGGTAGTTGTTGTGGTAGTTGTGTAGTAGTTGTGGTAGTTGTTGTGGTATTTGTGTAGTAGTGTAGTTGTTGTGGTAGTTGTGTAGTAGTGGTAGTAGTAGTAGTAGTTGTGGTAGTTGTGTAGTAGTGGTAGTAGTTGTGGTAGTTGTGTAGTAGTGGTAGTTGTTGTGGTAGTGGTAGTTGTTGTGGTAGTTGTGTAGTAGTGGTACTAGTTGTGTAGTAGTGGTAGTTGTTGTGGTAGTTGTGTAGTAGTGGTAGTTGTTGTGGTAGTTGTGTAGTAGTGGTAGTTGTAGTAGTGGTAGTAGTAGTGGTAGTTGTTGTGGTAGTTGTGTAGTAGTTTTGTAGTGATAGTTGTTGTGGGAGTTGTGTAGTAGTGGTAGTTGTTGTGGTAGTTGTGTAGTAGTTTCGGCATGCGGTGGCTGGGCATGCGGGCTACATGACCCAGCCAACGCAGCCTTGCCCGCCGGAGGAACTCACCGATGGGACCTTGCCCAGATCTTTCAAGGATTTGTGAGCTCCTCACAAAATCCAGTCTGGTTAAACCCAGGATGGATCGTAGGCAGGCCAGCCTAAATGTTTCTAACCGGCGAAGATGCTCCATTAGGGGGGTCCACGTTTCGCAAGCGTAGAGAAGGGAGGGAATGACCGTGGCCGAGAAGACCTGAAGCTTAGTGCGGAGCGACAGACCAGGTAGCTTCCACACAGCGTTACGCAACCGATGAAAAGATATTGCCGCTCGACTGATTCGGAGTAAGACCTCTGCTGTTAAATTGGAGCCGGTCATAAGCACACTGCCCAGGTATGGGAAACTCTCCACTCTCTCCACATCTGCCCCATCACCGATTGGGATTTGTGGGGGTGGATTGTCCGATGGTACAAAATACCCAGGCAGGTGCTTAGTTTTGGTGGGGCTGATGGTAAGGCCCCACCTCTTAGTGGCACGCTCCAGTCTCAGCAGCAGCGTCTCCAACTCCTCCGACTGAGCAGCTATTACCAAATTATTAGCATACATAACGTGGTTGAGCAATAGGGAGCCATCCCTTGACCGCACCCGGGCATCAATCAGCCTCCCATTATATCTGTACCATATGGAGATTCCCCCGGTACAGCTATTGAAGACTTCACGAACTACGTGGTCAAAATAGATGTTAAATAATGTGGGAGCCAGAGGACATCCCTGTCGCACCCCAAGGTGTACAGGGAATGACTCTGACTCCCGGCCACGTAGTTTTACCCGGGCCTGCTCACCATCATGAAGGTCCTTAATGATCGTGAGCAGAGGGTCAGGGACTCCAAAAGCACGAAGAACAACCCACAGCCCGGGTCTACTGATGGTATCATAGGCCTTGACCAGGTCAATGAAGCAGAGATGTAGGTCTTGTTGGATTCCCTACACCTCTGCTGTAGCAGACGGACAGAAAGTATTGCATCTGTGCAGGACCGCCCTTTCCTGAAACCCCTCCCACACACCCCCACGCACCCCCACACACACCCCACACACACCCCCACACACCCCCACACACACCCCCACACACACCCCACACACACCCCCACACACACCCACCCCCCACACACACACACCCACACCTCCCACACTCCCCAGACCCCCCACACACACCCACACACAACCCCCCACACACACCCACACCCCCACACACACCCACACCCCCACACACACACCCCCACACTCCCCACACCCCCCACACACACCCCCACACACACACCCCCACACACACACCCCACACACACCCCCACACACCGACACACACACAAACCCCCACACACTCCCACACACCCCCACACCCACACCGCCACACACACCCACACACACCTCCCACACTCCCCACACACACCCACACACACCCACACACCCCCCCCCACACACAAACGACAGTGCACTAACACTCACCAAGGCACAGGCTGTGAATGTTCACGGATGTTGTTGATTTATTCTCGTTACATTAACATCGTCTCACAGCCATCTCGCTAGTCAGTCGACGGGAGGGAAAGAGCCGATGGAACTGGCATGGCCGCCAATAACGCCACCTGATCACCGTCATGGCCGCCCACTGATCACCGTCATGGCCGCCATCCTGATCACCGTCATGGCCGCCCACTGATCACCGTCATGGCCGCCCACCGATCACCCTGATCACCGTCATGGCTGCCACCTGATCACCGTCATGGCCGCCACCCGATCACCGTCATGGCCGCCACCCCGATCACCGTCATGGCCGCCACCCGATCACCGTCATGGCCGCCACCACGATCACCGTCATAGCCGCCACCCTGATCACCGTCATGGCCGCCACCGATCACCGTCATGGCCGCCACAAACGCCACCTGATCACCGTCATGGCCGCCCACTGATCACCGTCTTGGCCGCCACCCTGATCACCGTCATGGCCGCCACCCTGATCACCGTCATGGCCGCCACCCTGATCACCGTCATGGCCGCTGGCGGCCATGCTGCTGCCGCGACTGCCAGGAGCTGAGTTTGCTGTAGGCAGCATCCAGCATCTCCAGGAGGTGAGAGGTCACCTGGGGGAGGGTTAACCGTGGCATTAGCACGGTAACTCTGTGGTGTTCAGGGGGGTTAACCGTGGCATTAACACGGTAACTCTGTGGTGTTCAGAGGGGTTAACCGTGGCATTAGCACGGTAACTGTGTGGTGTTCAGGGGGGTTAACCGTGGCATTAACACGGTAACTCTGTGGTGTTCAGAGGGGTTAACCGTGGCATTAGCACGGTAACTGTGTGGTATTCAGGGGGGTTAACCGTGGCATTACCACGGTAACTCTGTGGTGTTCAGAGGGGTTAACCGTGGCATTAGCACGGTAACTGTGTGGTATTCAGAGGGGTTAACCGTGGCATTAACACGGTAACTCTGTGGTGTTCAGAGGGGTTAACCGTGGCATTAACACGGTAACTGTGGTGTTCAGAGGGGTTAACCGTGGCATTAACACGGTAACTGTGGTGTTCAGAGGGGTTAACCGTGGCATTAACACGGTAACTCTGTGGTGTTCAGGGGGGTTAACAGTGGCATTACCACGGTAACTCTGTGGTGTTCAGAGGGGTTAACCGTGGCATTAACACGGTAACTGTGGTATTCAGAGGGGTTAACCGTGGCATTAGCACGGTAACTGTGTGGTATTCAGAGGGGTTAACCGTGGCATTAACACGGTAACTCTGTGGTGTTCAGGGGGGTTAACAGTGGCATTACCACGGTAACTCTGTGGTGTTCAGAGGGGTTAACCGTGGCATTACCACGGTAACTGTGTGGTATTCAGAGGGGTTAACCGTGGCATTAACACGGTAACTGTGTGGTATTCAGGGGGGTTAACCGTGGCATTAACACGGTAACTCTGTGGTATTCAGAGGGGTTAACCGTGGCATTAGCACGGTAACTGTGTGGTGTTCAGAGGGGTTAACCGTGGCATTAGTACGGTAACTGTGGTGTTCAGAGGGGTTAACCGTGGCATTAACACGGTAACTGTGGTGTTCAGAGGGGTTAACCGTGGCATTGACACGGTAACTGTGTGGTATTCAGAGGGGTTAACCGTGGCATTAACACGGTAACTGTGTGGTATTCAGAGGGGTTAACCGTGGTATTAACACGGTAACTGTGTGGTGTTCAGAGGGGCTAACCGTGGCATTAGCACGGTAACTCTGTGGTGTTCAGAGGGGTTAACCGTGGTATTAACACGGTAACTCTGTGGTGTTCAGAGGGGTTAACCGTGGCATTAACACGGTAACTCTGTGGTGTTCAGAGGGGTTAACCGTGGCATTAACACGGTAACTCTGTGGTATTCAGAGGGGTTAACCGTGGCATTAACACGGTAACTCTGTGGTGTTCAGAGGGGTTAACCGTGGCATTAACACGGTAACTCTGTGGTATTCAGAGGGGTTAACCGTGACATTAACACGGTAACTCTGTGGTATTCAGAGGGGTTAACCGTGGCATTAACACGGTAACTCTGTGGTATTCAGAGGGGTTAACCGTGGCATTAACACGGTAACTCTGTGGTGTTCAGAGGGGTTAACCGTGGCATTAACACGGTAACTCTGTGGTGTTCAGAGGGGTTAACTGTGGCATTAACACGGTAACTCTGTGGTATTCAGAGGGGTTAACCGTGGCATTAACACGGTAACTCTGTGGTATTCAGAGGGGTTAACCGTGGCATTAACACGGTAACTGTGTGGTATTCAGAGGGGTTAACCGTGGCATTAACACAGTAACTCTGTGGTATTCAGAGCTGCACGGTCACCATGTCGTAGCTATGGCAACGCGTGGTAACTGTGTGGTAACTGCGTGGTAACTGTGTGGTAACTGTGTGGTAACCATGGTGACTGCGTGGTAACTGTGTGGTGACTGTGTGGTAACTGCGTGGTAACTGTGTGGTAACTGTGTGGTAACTGTGTGGTAACCATGGTGACTGCGTGGTAACTGTGTGGTAACTGCGTGGTAACTGCGTGGTAACTGTGTGGTAACTGCGTGGTAACTGTGTGGTAACTGTGTGGTAACTGTGTGGTGACTGCGTGGTAACTGTGTGGTGACTGTGGTAACTGTGTGGTGACTGTGTGGTAACTGCGTGGTAACTGTGTGGTAACTGCGTGGTGACTGCGTGGTAACTGTGTGGTAACTGTGGTGACTGCGTGGTAACCGTGGTAACTGTGTGGTGACTGTGTGGTGACTGTGTGGTGACTGTGTGGTAACTGTGTGGTGACTGTGTGGTGACTGTGTGGTAACTGTGTGGTGACTGTGTGGTGACTGTGTGGTGACTGTGTGGTAACTGCGTGGTAACTGCGTGGTAACCATGGTGACTGCGTGGTAACTGTGTGGTGACTGTGTGGTAACTGTGTGGTAACTGCGTGGTAACTGCGTGGTAACCATAGTGACTGCGTGGTAACTGCGTGGTGACTGTGTGGTGACTGTGTGGTGACTGTGTGGTAACCATGGTAACTGTGTGGTAACTGTGTGGTAACCGTGATGACTGCGTGGTTACTGTGTGGTTGTGCATGGTGACTGCGTGGTAACCATGGTAACTGCGTGGTAACTGTGTGGTAACCATGGTAACTGCGTGGTAACTGTGTGGTAACCGTGGTGACTGCGTGGTAACTGCGTGGTAACCATGGTGACTGCGTGGTAACCGTGGTGACTGCGTGGTAACCATGGTTACTGCGTGGTAACCATGGTAACAGCATGGTGACCATGGTAACTGCGTGGTAACCATGGAAACTGCTTAGTGACTGCGTGGTAACCATGGTAACTGCGTGGTAACTGCGTGGTAACCATGGAAACTGCGTGGTAACTGTGTGGTGACTGTGTGGTAACTGCGTGGTAACCATGGAAACTGCGTGGTAACTGTGTGGTGACTGTGTGGTAACTGCGTGGTAACCATGGAAACTGCGTGGTAAATGTGTGGTGACTGTGTGGTAACTGCGTGGTAACCATGGAAACTGCGTGGTAACTGCGTGGTAACCGTCTGGTAACCATGGTGACTGCGTGGTAACTGCGTGGTAACCATGGTTACGTTGGTGCTGACGTGATTGCGGCTCAGCTTGTCGTTGAAGGGGAGGAGCCGCGAGGAGGTGAAACGCTCGAGGCTGAGACGCACCCTCATCACCTGCATCATCATCATCATAAACATCACCACCCTCATCACCTGCATCATCATCAACATCATAAACATCACCTGCATCATCATCATCATCACCTGCATCATCATCAACACCATCAACATCATCACCATCATCATCATAAACATCATCATCAACATCACCCTCATCACCTGTATCATCATCATCATCAACACCATCAACACCACCATCACCCTCATCACCTGCATCATCATCAACATAAACAACATCAACACCACCATCACCCTCATCACCTGCATCATCATCAACATAAACAACATCACCTGCATCATCATCAACACCATCAACATCATCACCTGCATCATCATCATCATCAACACCACCATCACCCTCATCACCTGCATCATCATCAACATAAACATCAACACCACCCTCGTCACCTGCATCACCATCATCATCAACATCATCACCTGCATCATCATCATCATCACCACCCTCATCACCTGCATCATCAACATCACCACCCTCATCACCTGCATCATCATCACCACCACCCTCATCACCTGCATCATCAACATCATTATCATCACCTGCATCATCATCATCATCATAAACATCATCACCTGCATCATCAACATCATCATCATCATCATCATAAACATCATCACCTGCATCATCAACACCATCATCATCATCTGCATCATCATCATCAACATCATCACCTGCATCATCATCATAAACATCACCACCCTCATCACCTGCATCATCATCAACATCATAAACATCACCTGCATCATCATCATCAACACCATCAACATCATCATCATCACCATCATCATCATCATAAACATCATCATCAACATCACCCTCATCACCTGCATCATCATCATCAACACCACCATCACCCTCATCACCTGCATCATCATCAACATAAACAACATCACCTGCATCATCATCAACACCATCAACATCATCACCTGCATCATCACCATCATCATTAACATCACCCTCATCACCTGCATCATCATCATCATAAACATCACCACCCTCATCACCTGCATCATCATCAACATCATAAACATCACCTGCATCATCATCATCATCACCTGCATCATCATCAACACCATCAACATCATCACCATCATCATCATAAACATCATCATCAACATCACCCTCATCACCTGTATCATCATCATCATCAACACCATCAACACCACCATCACCCTCATCACCTGCATCATCATCAACATAAACAACATCAACACCACCATCACCCTCATCACCTGCATCATCATCAACATAAACAACATCACCTGCATCATCATCAACACCATCAACATCATCACCTGCATCATCATCATCATCAACACCACCATCACCCTCATCACCTGCATCATCATCAACATAAACATCAACACCACCCTCGTCACCTGCATCACCATCATCATCAACATCATCACCTGCATCATCATCATCATCACCACCCTCATCACCTGCATCATCAACATCACCACCCTCATCACCTGCATCATCATCACCACCACCCTCATCACCTGCATCATCAACATCATTATCATCACCTGCATCATCATCATCATCATAAACATCATCACCTGCATCATCAACATCATCATCATCATCATCATAAACATCATCACCTGCATCATCAACACCATCATCATCATCTGCATCATCATCATCAACATCATCACCTGCATCATCATCATAAACATCACCACCCTCATCACCTGCATCATCATCAACATCATAAACATCACCTGCATCATCATCATCAACACCATCAACATCATCATCATCACCATCATCATCATCATAAACATCATCATCAACATCACCCTCATCACCTGCATCATCATCATCAACACCACCATCACCCTCATCACCTGCATCATCATCAACATAAACAACATCACCTGCATCATCATCAACACCATCAACATCATCACCTGCATCATCACCATCATCATTAACATCACCCTCATCACCTGCATCATCATCATCATCAACACCATCACCCTCATCACCTGCATCATCATCAACATAAACATCAACACCACCCTCATCACCTGCATCATCATCATCATCAACATCATCACCTGCATCATCAGCATCATAAACATCACCACCCTCATCACCTGCATCATCAACATCAGCACCCTCATCACCTGCATCATCATCATCACCACCCTCATCACCTGCATCATCATCATCAACATCACCACCCTCATCACCTGCATCATCAACATTATTATCATCACCTGCATCATCATCATAAACATCATCACCTGCATCATCAACACCATCATCATCATAAACATCATCACCTGCATCATCAACACCATCATCAACATCTGCATCATCAACAACAACACCCTCATCATCAACATCATCATCATCATCATAAACATCATCACCTGCATCATCATCATAAACATCATCACCTGCATCATCAACACCATCATCATCATCTGCATCATCAACAACAACACCCTCATCATCAACATCATCACCTGCATCATCATCATCATCATAAACATCATCACCTGCATCATCATCATAAACATCATCACCTGCATCATCAACATCATCACCTGCATCATCAACATCATCATAAACATCACCCTCATCACCTGCATCATCATCAACAACACCACCATCAACATCATCATCATCATAAACATCACCCTCATCACCTGCATCATCATCAACATAAACATCACCTGCATCATCATTATCATCATCACCATCATCAACATCAACACCATCAACATCACCATCATCAACATCATCATAAACATCACCCTCATCACCTGCATCATCATCATCAACAACACCACCACCATCAACATCATCACCCTCATCACCTGGATCATCATCATCATCATCATCAAAACCACCCTCATCACCTGCATCATCACCATCAACATCACCAACACCATCAACATCACCATCAACATCACCATCACCAACACCATCAACATCACCATCAACATCACCAACACCATCAACATCACCATCAACATCACCATCACCAACACCATCAACATCACCATCAACATCACCATCACCAACACCATCAACATCACCATCAACATCACCAACACCATCAACATCACCATCAACATCACCATCACCAACACCATCAACATCACCATCAACATCACCAGCACCAGCACCAACACCATCAACATCACCATCAACATCACCATCACCAACACCATCACCATCAACATCACCATCAACATCACCAACACCATCAACATCACCATCAACATCACCATCACCAACACCATCAACATCACCATCACCAGCACCAACACCATCACCATCAACATCACCAACACCATCAACATCAACATCACCATCACCAACACCATCAACATCACCATCAACATCACCATCACCAACACCATCAACATCACCATCAACATCACCATCAACATCACCAGCACCAACACCATCACCATCAACATCACCATCAACATCACCAACACCATCAACATCACCATCAACATCACCATCACCAACACCATCAACATCACCATCACCAGCACCAACACCATCACCATCACCAGCACCAACAACATCACCATCAACATCACCATCACCAACACCATCACCAACACCATCAACATCACCAACACCATCACCATCACCGATATCACCGGCAGGGAGACACGGGGGGACGTGGGGGGGATACGGGGGGGGGGGTCACGTGGGGGGGGGTCACGTGGGGGGGGGGGGTGCCCACTTTGTCTTGCTGGAGGGGGGAGTTGAGGGGGAAGCAGCCCCAAAAGTGACGCAGCAGCTCCCCCAGAGACAGGTAGAGAAGTAGCAGCTCATCCTGTAGCTCCACAGAGATCATCTCTAGCACACAGTGACACACACAGTGACACACACACAGTGACACACACACAGTGACACACACACAGTGACACACACACAGTGACACACACACAGTGACACACACACAGAGACAGGTAGAGAAGTAGCAGCTCATCCTGTAGCTCCACAGAGATCATCTCTAGCACAGTGACACACACAGTGACACACACACAGTGACACACACACAGTGACACACACACAGTGACACACACACACAGTGACACACACACAGTGACACACACACACAGTGACACACACACACAGTGACACACACACAGTGACACACACACAGTGACACACACACAGTGACACACACACAGTGACACACACACACACAGACAGGTAGAGAAGTAGCAGCTCATCCTGGAGCTCCACAGAGATAATCTCTAGCACAGTGACACACAGTGACACACACAGTGACACACAGTGACACACACAGTGACACACACACAGTGACACACACAGTGACACACACACAGTGACACACACACAGTGACACACACAGACAGGTAGAGAAGTAGCAGCTCATCCTGTAGCTCCACAGAGATCATCTCTAGCACAGTGACACAGTGACACACACAGTGACACACACACACAGTGACACACAGTGACACACACACAGTGACACACAGTGACACACACACAGTGACACACACAGTGACACACACACAGTGACACACACACACACAGACAGGTAGAGAAGTAGCAGCTCATCCTGGAGCTCCACAGAGATCATCTCTAGCACACACACACAGTGACACACACACAGTGACACACACAGTGACACACACACACAGTGACACACACACAGTGACACACACAGTGACACACACAGTGACACACACAGTGACACACACACAGTGACAGGTAGAGAAGTAGCAGCTCATCCTGTAGCTCCACAGAGATAATCTCTAGCACACACACAGTGACACACACACAGTGACACACACAGTGACACACACACACAGAGACAGGTAGAGAAGTAGCAGCTCATCCTGGAGCTCCACAGAGATCATCTCTAGCACACAGTGACACACACACAGTGACACACACAGTGACACACACACAGTGACACACACACAGTGACACACACAGTGACACACACAGTGACACACACACACAGTGACAGGTAGAGAAGTAGCAGCTCATCCTGTAGCTCCACAGAGATCATCTCTAGCACACAGAGACACACACAGTGACACACACAGTGACACACACACACACAGTGACACACATACAGTGACACACACAGTGACACACACATACAGTGACACACACACAGTGACACACACACACAGTGACACACACACACAGTGACACACACAACACAGTGACACACACAGTGACACACACACAGTGACACACACAGTGACACACACACACACAGTGACACACATAGTGACACACATACAGTGACACACACACACAGTGACACACACACACACAGTGACACACACACAGTGACACACACACAGTGACACACACACACAGAGACAGGTGGAGAAGTAGCAGCTCATCCTGTAGCTCCACAGAGATCATCTCTAGCACAGTGACAACAACACAACAACAACCGCCATTCGCCACTAAGTGGCGGTGACGTCACCACGACGCTTGTGCCAGGCTATGTGCACCCTGAGGCCACGTGAAGTGTCGAACGCCCGCTGGCAGGAGGTCACGGGGCAGACCCAGGTGCCACGGGTCGACTGACTGAGATGACTGGCTGATGCACCACCTGTGCCCCCTACTGTGCCAACCTGTTGTGCTTTAGCCACCCGGCGCTCCGCTCGCTGTTGTGAGCGTCGCTCCTCCGCCCTCCGTTGTTGTTGGAGGGCGACTGCCTCCAACTGCCCAGTAGCATCCTTCACGAGCCTCCTCCACAGAGGCCGATCTTGACACCGCTGGTACCAGTCATCGGCAAGTCCACTCAGCTCCACGTCCTCCTGTACCACATCACTCCATCTCTTCTCTAGCCCGTGCCGCGGCCGCTTAGCCCCCTCAATCCGGCCAAACAAAAGCTGTTTCGGCATGCGGTGGCTGGGCATGCGGGCTACATGACCCAGCCATCGCAGCCTTGCCTGCCGGAGGAGCTCACCGATGGGACCCTGCCCAGATCTTTCAAGGATTTGTGAGCTCCTCACACAATCCAGTCTGGTTAAACCCAGGATGGATCGTAGGCAGGCCAGCCTAAATGTTTCTAACCGGCGAAGATGTTCCATTAGGGGGGTCCACGTTTCGCAAGCGTAGAGAAGGGAGGGAATGACCGTGGCCGAGAAGACCTGAAGCTTAGTGCGGAGCGACAGACCAGGTAGCTTCCACACAGCGTTACGCAACCGATGAAAAGATATTGCCGCTCGACTGATTCGGAGTGAGACCTCTGCTGTTAAACTGGAGCCAGTCATAAGCACACTGCCCAGGTATGGGAAACTCTCCACTCTCTCCACAACTGCCCCATCACCGATTGGGAGTTGTGGGGGTGGAGTGTCCGATGGTACAAAATACCCAGGCAGGTGCTTAGTTTTGGTGGGGCTGATGGTAAGGCCCCACCTCTTAGTGGCACGCTCCAGTCTCAGCAGCAGCGTCTCCAACTCCTCCTCTGACTGAGCAGCTATTACCAAGTCATCAGCATACATAACGTGGTTGAGCAATAGGGAGCCATCCCTTGACCGCACCCGGGCATCGATTAGCCTCCCATTATATCTGTACCATATGGAGATTCCCCCGGTACAGCTATTGAAGGCTTCACGAACTACGTGGTCAAAATAGATGTTAAATAATGTGGGAGCCAGAGGACATCCCTGTCGCACCCCAAGGTGTACAGGGAATGGCTCTGACTCCCGGCCACGTAGTTTTACCCGGGCCCGCTCACCATCATGAAGGTCCTTAATGATCGTGAGCAGAGGGTCAGGTACTCCAAAAGCACGAAGAACGACCCAGAGCCCAGGCCTACTGATGGTATCATAGGCCTTGACCAGGTCAATAAAGCAGAGATGTAGGTCTTGTTGGAATTCCCTACACCTCTGCTGTAGCAGACGGACAGAAAATATGGCATCTGTGCAGGACCGCCCTTTCCTGAAACCGCATTGGGGCTCCGCAAGCCTCTCCTCAGCGTGCCTGGCAAGGCGATGCTGAATAATCCTTGCCAGGACCTTTCCCGGCACACTGAGGAGTGAGATGCCCCTGTAGTTGTTACAGTCTGTGCGGTCCCCCTTCTTAAAAAGGGGGACCACCAGGGCATCCTTCCAATCCTGCGGAACCCGTCCAGTGGTCCAGACTGTTGTTATGATGTCATATAGGGCAGTCTGTGCACAAACGCCACCCTCCCTCAGCATTTCGCTTGGGAGATCATCTCTGCCCGCTGCCTTTCCTGGTCTCAGACTCCGGATCGCCTTCAATACTTCCTCAGCAGATGGCACCTCAGCCAGCCACTCACAGGGGGTGACTTCATCCAGTATTTGAGGCACCGCAGCCTAAGCAGGGTCATCTTCACTTTGTGCCACGATGTTTTCCTGGCTGAGGGATTTTCCCTCCCCCAGGACCTCACAGAAATGCTCAGCAAATCTGCGAACCTGTTCCTGGGGGTCGGAAATTGGATCACCGTTTTTTCCCCTAATGATGGTAATAGGTGTGGCGCTGCAGGTTACTTTTTTGATGGAGTTAAATAGAGATTTGTGATCACGGGCCACTGAGGCAGACTCCATCTCCTCAGCAACCCGCGACCACCACCCATCCTTGCAGCGCCTCACGGCTCTCCGAACCTCCGAGCGAAGGCTGCGGTAAGCCTCCTCATTCTCTGACGTGGGATTCTGTAGCCGATGACAGTGGGCCTGTCGCTTTTTCTCAACCATCGTGAACAACTCCTCTGTCATCCAGGGTGTCTGGGGAGGTCTGCACCGCGTACCCAAAGCAGCCATTGCAGCTGCATGAGTCACAGTCCTAAACCTCGCCCATTTACCCTCGACATCAGGAGGAGTCAGGGACGATGCCAATCCCAGCTGCAAGCGATGATGAAATTCTCGCTTGCAACTTTCATCAGATAACTGAGACCAGGCCACTTTAGGTTGGAATGGGGTCCTGGGTGTACACCCACCACCGGAGTGGAAGAATGGCAGGCGCATCTTACAGATGACTAGTCGATGGTCAGAGGGCAGATCAGCTCCACGGTAGGTCCTGGTGTCAAGGACATGGGCTCGCATTCGCTGGTCCGTCACTATGTAGTCCAGCAGATGTTCTTGCTTGGACCCGGCATGCATCCATGATGTTGTGTGGATGCGCCGATGCCGGAACAGCGTGTTGGTAATTACAAGCCCATGGGCTGCACAAAAATCTAGCAGCCTCCTACCGTTGTTATTGAGCTGATCTGGCCCATGCCCTCCAATCACTCCAGACCAGGTGCCAGTATCATGACCAACTCGGGCATTGAAGTCACCCAACATGATGACTCTATCCCGAGGGGCCACTTTAGCCAGCACCTGTGACAGGAGGTCATAGAAGGCATCTGACTCATCGGCTTTGCCTGCATCCCTCCACGGATGTTCATCTTCGGTGGGGGCATAAGTAACCACGACCACCATTCCTCGCCTCCGGTTGATGGGAAGGCGAGCCCAAAGTAGCCTGGGGCTCACAGCTTCCCACACCTCACCGCCACGCTCCCACGCCCCCTTCATTCTTTTGTTCAAAAGAAGACCCACACCCTGTTGTTTGGCAGTCTGCTGCCCCGAGTAGAGGAATGTCCACCCCTCATGGTGGCAGGAGCCAGAGCCGGTCCACCGGACCTCCTGAATGCCGCATAGATCCAGGCGGTACCGGTCCAGCTCCCGACAGAGGAGTGGCAGCCTCTCCTCTGCAGTGAGCGTTCGAACATTCCACGTGGCCAACCGTAGTGGCTTTTCGTTGTTTCTGGAGTAGCCCCGAGGGTAGGTATTCAATCTCCTGGCTCCGCCAATTGGGGTTTGGCCAGGAGACGTCATAGACGCCTGGCCCCCCGGGGCCTCCGGCACAAGCTTAGTTGTTACATATTTCAGTTTAATTCGTAGTTTCGTGGTAATTAATTGAAGGTGGAGGGGTTACCAGCCCCTCGCACCCGTCCAGAGCCCCCGTTTAGCCCCTGTGGTGGACACATATGCCATGAGGGGAGGAGCCAATCAAAATTGGATCTCCCCCCACAGCGCTGTCCACGACAGAGTTGCCCGTCCGGCACCGCGAGGAGGTAGGGGGTTGTTTTGCACAGTGACACACACAGTGACACACACAGTGACACACACACAGAGTGACACACACACACAGTGACACACACACACAGAGACAGGTAGAGAAGTAGCAGCTCATCCTGTAGCTCCACAGAGATCATCTCTAGCACACACAGAGACACACACAGTGACACACACAGTGACACACACACAGTGACACACACAGTGACACACACAGTGACACACACAGTGACACACACACAGTGACACACACACACAGAGACAGGTAGAGAAGTAGCAGCTCATCCTGTAGCTCCACAGAGATCATCTCTAGCACACACAGTGACACACACAGTGACACACACACAGTGACACACACACAGTGACACACACAGTGACAGGTAGAGAAGTAGCAGCTCATCCTGTAGCTCCACAGAGATCATCTCTAGCACACACAACACAGTGACACACACAGTGACACACACAGTGACACACACATAGTGACACACAGTGACACACACAGTGACACACACAGTGACAGGTAGAGAAGTAGCAGCTCATCCTGTAGCTCCACAGAGATCATCTCTAGCACACACAACACAGTGACACACACAGTGACACACACAGTGACACACACATAGTGACACACAGTGACACACACAGTGACACACACAGTGACAGGTAGAGAAGTAGCAGCTCATCCTGTAGCTCCACAGAGATCATCTCTAGCACACAGTGACACACACAGTGACACACAGTGACACACAGTGACACACACAGTGACACACACACAGTGACACACACACAGTGACACACACAGTGACACACACACACAGTGACACAGTGATACACACACAGTGACACACACACAGTGACACACACACAGAGACAGGTAGAGAAGTAGCAGCTCATCCTGTAGCTCCACAGAGATCATCTCTAGCACAGTGACACACACACAGTGACACAGTGACACACACAGTGACACACACACAGTGACACACACACACACAGTGACACACACAGTGACACACACAGTGACACACACAGTGACAAACACACACACAGTGACAGGTAGAGAAGTAGCAGCTCATCCTGTAGCTCCACAGAGATCATCTCTAGCACACACAGTGACACACACAGTGACACACACAGTGACACACACAGTGACACACACACAGTGACACACACAGTGACACACACACACAGTGACACACACACAGTGACACACACACAGAGACAGGTAGAGAAGTAGCAGCTCATCCTGTAGCTCCACAGAGATCATCTCTAGCACACACAGTGACACACACAGTGACACACACACAGTGACACACACACAGTGACACACACACAGTGACACACACACAGTGACACACACACAGTGACACACACACACAGTGACACACACAGACAGGTAGAGAAGTAGCAGCTCATCCTGTAGCTCCACAGAGATCATCTCTAGCACACACAGTGACACACACAGTGACACACACACAGTGACACACACACAGTGACACACACAGTGACACAGTGACACACACAGTGACACACACACACAGAGACAGGTAGAGAAGTAGCAGCTCATCCTGTAGCTCCACAGAGATCATCTCTAGCACACACAGTGACACACACAGTGACACACACACAGTGACACACACACAGTGACACACACACAGTGACACACACACAGTGACACACACACAGTGACACACACACAGTGACACACACACAGTGACACACACACAGTGACACACACAGTGACACACACACACAGTGACACCCACACACAGTGACACACACAGTGACACACACACAGTGACACACACACAGTGACACACACACAGTGACACACACACACACAGTGACACACACACACAGTGACACACACACAGTGACACACACACACAGAGACAGGTAGAGAAGTAGCAGCTCATCCTGTAGCTCCACAGAGATCATCTCTAGCACACACAACACAGTGACACACACAGTGACACACACACAGTGACACACACAGTGACACACACACAGTGACACACAGTGACACACACACAGTGACACACACAGTGACAGGTAGAGAAGTAGCAGCTGATCCTGTAGCTCCACAGAGATCATCTCTAGCACACACACACAGTGACACACACACAGTGACACACACAGTGACACACACACACAGTGACACACACAGTGACACACACACACAGTGACACACACAGTGACACACACACACACAGACAGGTAGAGAAGTAGCAGCTTATCCTGTAGCTCCACAGAGATCATCTCTAGCACACACACAGTGACACACACACACAGTGACAACAACAACCGCCATTCGCCACTAAGTGGCGGTGACGTTACCACGACGCTTGTGCCAGGCCACACACAGACACACAGACAGACACACACACAAACACACACAGACACACACACACACGCGCACACAGACACACACACAGACACACGCACACATGCACACAGAGACACACAGAGATCGTGCAGTACACAAGGTCATGTGTATAGGTCAAGAGGTCACATGTCGTGGGGTCAAGGGGTTACCTCTGCTGCTGGACTGAGCACCGCCCTGCATCAAGGAGCCTCCCGGAGAGAGGGAGGCGATGGCGGAGGACGAGAGAGCAGCGGAGAGAGCCTGGCAGAGACACACGGGGACAGAGACACGGGGAGAGAGACACGGGGAGAGAGACACGGGGAGAGAGACACGGGGAGAGAGACACGGGGACAGAGACACGGGGAGAGAGTCAGAGAGAGACACGGGGAGAGAGACACGGGGAGAGAGTCAGAGAGAGACACGGGGAGAGAGTCAGAGAGAGACACGGGGAGAGAGACACGGGGAGAGAGACAGAGAGAGACACGGGGAGAGAGACACGGGGAGACGGTCAGAGAGAGACACGAGGAGAGAGACACGGGGAGAGAGTCAGAGAGAGACACGGGGAGAGAGACACGGGGAGAGACACAGAGAGTCAGAGAGAGACACAGCGAGAGACACAAAGAGAGACACAGAGACAGAGAGACACAGAGAGACAGTCAGAGACACCAGAGGCTGGTGGAGGGGGTGGATCCCTGGTGGAGCAGTGGGTATGTAGGTGCAGCCGCAGGGTGAGGTGCAGGAGGAGGGTGACGATGAGGAGGGTGATGATGTGTGTGTCTGTGTGTGTGACTGTGTGTGTGTGACTGTGTGACTGCTGATCGATGCCCGGGTGCGGTCAAGGGATGGCTCCCTATTGCTCAACCACGTTATGTATGCTGATGATTTGGTAATAGCTGCTCAGTCAGAGGAGGAGTTGGAGACGCTGCTGCTGAGACTGGAGCGTGCCACTAAGAGGTGGGGCCTTACCATCAGCCCCACCAAAACTAAGCACCTGCCTGGGTATTTTGTACCATCGGACACTCCACCCCCACAACTCCCAATCGGTGATGGGGCAGTTGTGGAGAGAGTGGAGAGTTTCCCATACCTGGGGAGTGTGCTTATGACTGGCTCCAGTTTAACAGCAGAGATCTCACTCCGAATCAGTCGAGCGGCAATATCTTTTCATCGGTTGCGTAACGCTGTGTGGAAGCTACCTGGTCTGTCGCTCCGCACTAAGCTTCAGGTCTTCTCGGCCATGGTCATTCCCTCCCTTCTCTACGCTTGCGAAACGTGGACCCCCCTAATAGAACATCTTAGCCGGGTAGAAACATTTAGGCTGGCCTGCCTACGATCCATCCTGGGTTTAACCAGACTGGATTGTGTGAGGAGCTAAAAAATCCTTCAAAGATCTGGGCAAGGTCCCATCGGTGAGCTCCTCCGGCAGGCAAGGCTGCGATGGCTGGGTCATGTAGCCCGCATGCCCAGCCACCGCATGCCGAAACAGCTTTTGTTCGGCCGGATTGAGGGGGCTAAGCGGGCGCGGCATGGGCTAGAGAAGAGATGGAGTGATGTGGTACAGGAGGACGTGGAGCTGAGTAGACTTGCCGATGACTGGTACCAGCAGTGTCAAGATCGGCCTCTGTGGAGGAGGCTCGTGAAGGATGCTACTGGGCAGTTGGAGGCAGTCGCCCTCCAACAACAACAGAGGGCGGAGGAGCGACGCTCACAACAACGAGCGGAGCGCCGGGTGGCTAAAGCACAGCAGGTTGGCACAGTAGGGGGCACAGATGGTGCATCAGCCAGTCATCTCAGTCAGTCGACCCGTGGCACCTGGGCCTGCCCCGTGACCTCCTGCCAGCGGGCGTTCGACACTTCACGTGGCCTCAGGGTGCACATGGCCTGGCACAAGCATCATGGTGACGTCACCGCCACTTAGTGGCGAATGGCGGTTGTTTTGTGTGTGTCTGTGTGTGTGACTGTGTGTGTGTGACTGTGTGTGACTGTGTGTGACTGTGTGTGTGTGACTGTGTGTGTGTGTGACTGTGTGTGTGTGACTGTGTGTGTGTGTGACTGTGTGTGTGTGTGACTGTGTGTGTGACTGTGTGTGTGTGACTGTATGTGTGTGTGACTGTGTGTGTGTGTGTGACTGTGTGTGTGTGTGACTGTGTGTGTGTGACGATGAGGAGGGTGATGCCGCCACCTGTTGGGGGCAGGGGGTGTAGGAGGCCATCTCTGAGCGTGTGGCGCCCACGGCCCCCAGGATCTCGTGGCCGGTGCTGTAGGGGCACGGCTGGACGGGCACAGGCCCATGGAAATACCTAGCACACACACACAGTCACACACAGTCACAACAACAACAACAACAACAACCGCCATTCGCCACTAAGTGGCGGTGACGTCACCACGACGCTTGTGCCAGGCTATGTGCACCCTGAGGCCACGTGAAGTGTCGAACGCCCGCTGGCAGGAGGTCACGGGGCAGACCCAGGTGCCACGGGTCGACTGACTGAGATGACTGGCTGATGCACCACCTGTGCCCCCTACTGTGCCAACCTGCTGTGCTTTAGCCACCCGGCGCTCCGCTCGCTGTTGTGAGCGTCGCTCCTCCGCCCTCCGTTGTTGTTGGAGGGCGACTGCCTCCAACTGCCCAGTAGCATCCTTCACGAGCCTCCTCCACAGAGGCCGATCTTGACACCGCTGGTACCAGTCATCGGCAAGTCCACTCAGCTCCACGTCCTCCTGTACCACATCACTCCATCTCTTCTCTAGCCCGTGCCGCGCCCGCTTAGCCCCCTCAATCCGGCCAAACAAAAGCTGTTTCGGCATGCGGTGGCTGGGCATGCGGGCTACATGACCCAGCCATCGCAGCCTTGCCTGCCGGAGGAGCTCACCGATGGGACCCTGCCCAGATCTTTCAAGGATTTGTGAGCTCCTCACACAATCCAGTCTGGTTAAACCCAGGATGGATCGTAGGCAGGTCAGCCTAAATGTTTCTAACCGGCGAAGATGTTCCATTAGGGGGGTCCACGTTTCGCAAGCGTAGAGAAGGGAGGGAATGACCGTGGCCGAGAAGACCTGAAGCTTAGTGCGGAGCGACAGACCAGGTAGCTTCCACACAGCGTTACGCAACCGATGAAAAGATATTGCCGCTCGACTGATTCGGAGTGAGACCTCTGCTGTTAAACTGGAGCCAGTCATAAGCACACTGCCCAGGTATGGGAAACTCTCCACTCTCTCCACAACTGCCCCATCACCGATTGGGAGTTGTGGGGGTGGAGTGTCCGATGGTACAAAATACCCAGGCAGGTGCTTAGTTTTGGTGGGGCTGATGGTAAGGGCCCACCTCTTAGTGGCACGCTCCAGTGGCACAGTCACACAGTCACACACACAGTCACACACACACAGTCACACACACAGTCACACACACACAGTCACACACACACAGTCACACACACAGTCACACACAAAGATACAAAAACAAAGATCCCCCATATAGCCTTAACAGACTGTAGGGGCAAGTGCTGTTAGCGAGCACCTATGAAGGCCGGTAACGGTACACGAGCACACACACACAGTCACACACACACACAGTCACACACACACACAGTCACACAGTCACACACACAGTCACACAGTCACACACACAGTCACACAGTCACACACACACAGTCACACACACACACAGTCACACACACACACAGTCACACACACACAGTCACACACACAGTGACACACACACAGTGACACACACACAGTGACACACACACAGTCACACACACACACAGTCACACACACACACAGTCACACACACACACAGTCACACACACACAGTCACACACACACAGTCACACACACAGTCAGTCACACACACAGTCACAGTCACACACACAGACACACAGTCACACACACAGTCACACACACAGTCACACACACACACACACAGTCACACACAAAGATCCCCCATATAGCCTTAACAGACTGTAGGGGCAAGTGCTGTTAGCGAACACCTATGAAGGCCGGAACGGTACACGAGGGGGTGGGTGGCCAGCACCACGCCCGACCGCCTTTGTCTCCCTAGTGGCAATGTTTATACACCGCGCCAGGTACTCATTTGAGGCTGAGTCGACCTAGGGGAGGCCCGGGACCGGTTCAGATAATCGTCACTGGTGTTGGCCGTGAGCGGGAATCGAACCCGGGTCGCCAGGTTCATAGCGCAGCGCACTAACCGATACACTATCGCTCCCCACTCAGTCACACACACACACACAGTCACACACACAGTCACACACACACACAGTCACACACACACACACACAGTCACACACACACACAGTCACACACACAGTCACACACAGACAGACACAGTCACACACACACAGAGTCACACACAGAGTCACACAGTCACAGTTACACACAGAGTCACACACAGTCACAGTTACACACAGAGTCACACAGTCACACAGACGCACACACACACACAGTCACACAGTCACACACACACAGTCACACACGTGCACACACACACACACGCACGCACAAGACCCACACACACAGATACACACACACGCAAGCACAAGACACACACACATACACACACACACAAGACACACACACACAGATACACACACACACACACGCACACACAAGACACACACACACACACGCACACACAAGACACACACACATACAGATACACACACAGACACACCAGCTGTGGTGGGTGTGCATACTGGTGGGTGGTTATGGTGGTGGTTGTATGTATAGTGGTGGTGGTTGTATGAACAGTGAGAGAAAAAAGTATTTGATCCCCTGCTGAATTTGTACGTTTGCCCACTGACAAAGAAATGATCAGTCTATAATTTTAATGGTAGGTTTATTTGAACAGTGAGAGACAGAATGACAACAAAAATCCGGCAAATCGCATGTCAAAAATGTTATAAATTGATTTGCATTTTAATGAGGGAAATAAGTATTTGACCCCCTCTCAATCAGAAAAATTTCTGGCTCCCAGGTGTCTTTTATACAGGTAACAAGCTGAAATTAGGAGCACTCCATTTAAGAGTGTGCTCCTAATTTCAGCTTGTTACCTGTATAAAAGACACCTGTCCACAGAAGCAATCAATCAATCAGATTCCAAACTCTCCACCATGGCCAAGACCAAACAGCTCTCCAAGGACGTCAGGGACAAGATTGTAGACCTACACAAGGCTGGAATGTGCTCAAGACCATTGCCAAGCAGCTTGGTGAGAAGGTGACAACAGTTGGTGCGATTATTCGCAAATGGAAGAAACACAAAAGAACTGTCAATCTCCCTCGGCCTGGGGCTCCATGCAAGATCTCACCTCGTGGAGTTGCAATGATCATGAGAACGGTGACGAATCAGCCCAGAACTACAAGGGAGGATCTTGTCAATGATCTCAAGGCAGCTGGGACCATAGTCACCAAGAAAACAATTGGTAACACACTACGCCGTGAAGGACTGAAATCCTGCAGCGCCCGCAAGGTCCCCCTGCTCAAGAAAGCACATATACATGCCCGTCTGAAGTTTGCCAATGAACATCTGAATGATTCAGACAACTGGGTGAAAGTGTTGTGGTCAGATGAGACCAAAATGGAGCTCTTTGGCATCAACTCAACTCGCCGTGTTTGGAGGAGGAGGAATGCTGCCTATGACCCCAAGAACACCACCCCCACCGTCAAACATGGAGGTGGAAACATTATGCTTTGGGGGTGTTTTTCTGCTAAGGGGACAGGACAACTTCACCGCAACAAAGGGACGATGGACGGGGCCATGTACCGTCAAATCTCGGGTGAGAACCTCCTTCCCTCAGCCAGGGCATTGAAAATGGGTCGTGGATGGGTATTCCAGCATGGCAATGACCCAAAACACATGGCCAAGGCAACAAAGGAGTGGCTCAAGAAGAAGCACATTAAGGTCCTGGAGTGGCCTAGCCAGTCTCCAGACCTTAATCCCATAGAAAATCTGTGGAGGGAGCTGAAGGTTCGAGTTGCCAAACGTCAGCCTCGAACCTTAATGACTTGGAGAAGATCTACAAAGAGGAGTGGGACGAAATCCCTCCTGAGATGTGTGCAAACCTGGTGGCCAACTACAAGAAACGTCTGACCTCTGTGATTGCCAACAAGGGTTTTGCCACCAAGTACTAAGTCATGTTTTGCAGAGGGGGTCAAATACTTATTTCCCTCATTAAAATGCAAATCAATTTATAACATTTTTGACATGCGTTTTTTCTGGATTTTTGTTGTTGTTATTCTGTCTCTCACTGTTCAAATAAACCTACCATTAAAATTATAGACTGATCATTTCTTTGCCAGTGGACAAACGTACAAAATCAGCAGGGGATCAAATACTTTTTTCCCTCACTATATAGTGGTGGTGGTGGTTGTATGTATAGTGGTGGTGGTTGTATGTATAGTGGTGGTGGTTGTGGTTGTATGTATGGTGGTGGTTGTATGTATGGTGGTGGTGGTTGTATGTATAGTGGTGGTGGTTGTATGTATAGTGGTGGTGGTTGTGGTTGTATGTATAGTAGTGGTGGTTGTATGTATAGTGGTGGTGGTTGTGGTTGTATGTATAGTGGTGGTGGTTGTATGTATAGTGGTGGTGGTTGTGGTTGTATGTATGGTGGTGGTTGTATGTATGGTGGTGGTGGTTGTATGTATAGTGGTGGTGGTTGTATGTATAGTGGTGGTGGTTGTGGTTGTATGTATAGTAGTGGTGGTTGTATGTATAGTGGTGGTGGTTGTATGTATAGTGGTGGTGGTTGTGGTTGTATGTATAGTAGTGGTGGTTGTGGTTGTAGGTATAGTGGTGGTGGTTGTGGTGGTGGTTGTTGTATGCATAGTGGTGGTTGTATGTATAGTAGTGGTGGTTGTGGTTGTAGTGGTGGTGGTTGTTGTATGCATAGAAGTGGTGGTTGTGGTGGTGGTGGTTGTGGTACCGGTCTGATCTCTTGAGGTTCAGGGTCACCGTCTCGTTAGGACGCGGTTCCAGCAGATCTTCATAGCGGCACGCCTCCTCTACGCAGTTCTACCACAACAACCACAACAACCACTACAAACAACAACCACTATACACAACAACCACTATACACAACAACCACAACAACCACTATACACAACACAACAACCACAATACATAAACCACCACCACCACCATCACCACTGCCACCACCACCACAACCACCGCCACCACCACCACCACCGCCACCACCATCACCACCGCCACCACCACCACCACCATCACCACCGCCACCACCACCGCCACCACCACCACCACCACCACCACCGCCACCACCACCACCACCGCCACCACCACCACCACTACCACCATGGCCACCGCCACCACCATCGCCGCCACCGCCGCCATCACCACCGCCACCACCACCGCCACTACCACCACCACCACTACCACCATCGCCACCACCACCACCACCACCGCCACCACCCCCGAGCACCTTCTTAGTGGGTGGTTGTTGTGGTTGTTGTGGTTGTTGCTGATTCTCGGCGTCTCCACTGCAGCGTTTCACCGCCTCACCACTCACAGAGCCCCTGACAACAACCACCACCACGTAAACAACAACAACAACAACAACCAGCACCACGTAAACAACAACAACAACAACCAGCACCACGTAAACAACAACAACAACAACAACCAGCACCACGTAAACAACAACAACAACAACCAGCACCACGTAAACAACAACAACAACAACCACCACCACGTAAACAACAACAACAACAACCAGCACCACGTAAACAACAACAACAACAACAACCAGCACCACGTAAACAACAACAACAACAACCAGCACCACGTAAACAACAACAACAACAACCACCACCACGTAAACAACAACAACAACAACCAGCACCACGTAAACAACAACAACAACAACCACCACCACGTGAACAACAACAACCACCACCACGTAAACAACAACAACAACCACCACGTAAACAACAACAACAACAACCACGTGAACAACAACAACCACCACCACGTAAACAACAACAACCACCACGTAAACAACAACAACAACCACCACGTAAACAACAACAACCGTCACGTAAACAACAACAACCACCACGTGAACAACAACAACAACAACCACGTAAACAACAACAACAACCACGTGAACAACAACAACCACGTAAACAACAACAACCACCACCACGTGAACAACAACAACCACCACCACGTGAACAACAACAACCACCACCACGTAAACAACAACAACCACCACGTGAACAACAACAACCACCACCACGTGAACAACAACAACCACCACGTAAACAACAACAACAACAACCACCACGTGAACAACAACAACAACCACGTGAACAACAACAACCACCACGTAAACAACAACAACCACCACGTGAACAACAACCACCACCACGTAAACAACAACAACAACCACCACGTAAACAACAACCACCACCACGTAAACAACAACAACAACAACAACCACCACGTAAACAACAACAACCACCACGTGAACAACAACAACAACCACCACGTAAACAACAACAACCACCACGTGAACAACAACAACCACCACGTGAACAACAACAACCACCACGTAAACAACAACAACCACCACGTAAACAACAACAACAACCACCACGTAAACAACAACAACAACAACCACCACGTAAACAACAACCACCACCACGTGAACAACAACAACCACCACGTGAACAACAACAACCACCACGTAAACAACAACAACCACCACCACGTGAACAACAACCACCACGTAAACAACAACAACCACCACGTGAACAACAACAACCACCACCACGTGAACAACAACAACCACCACCATGTGAACAACAACAACCACCACCACGTGAACAACAACCACCACCACGTAAACAACAACAACAACAACCACCACGTGAACAACAACAACAACCACCACGTGAACAACAACAACCACCACGTGAACAACAACCACCACGTGAACAACAACAACCACCACCACGTAAACAACAACAACCACCACCACGTGAACAACAACAACAACAACAACAACAACAACCACGTCAACAACCACAACCACCACGTGAACAACAACAACCACCACGTGAACAACCACCACCACGTGAACAACAACAACCACCACCACGTAAACAACAACAACCACCACCACCACGTGAACAACAACAACCACGTAAACAACAACAACAACAACCACCACCACGTAAACAACAACAACCACCACCACGTGAACAACAACCACCACCACGTAAACAACAACAACCACCACCACGTAAACAACAACAACCACCACGTAAACAACAACAACCACGTGAACAACAACAACCACCACGTGAACAACAACAACCACCACCACGTAAACAACAACAACCACGTAAACAACAACAACAACCACCACCACGTAAACAACAACAACCACCACCACGTAAACAACAACAACCACCACGTAAACAACAACAACCACCACCACGTAAACAACAACAACCGTCACGTAAACAACAACAACCACCACCACCACCACGTGAACAACAACAACAACCGTCACGTAAACAACAACAACCACCACCACCACGTGAACAACAACAACCACGTAAACAACAACAACAACCACCACCACGTAAACAACAACAACCACCACCACGTGAACAACAACAACCACCACCACGTGAACAACAACAACCCGTCTGACTCCCCGTGTCCCCCCCCCCCACGTGTCTCCCCCTCCCCCCCCCCCCACGTGTCTCCCCCCCCCCACGTGACTCCCCCTCCCCCCCCCCACGTGACTCCCCCTCCCCCCCCCCCCATGTGACTCCCCCCCCCCCCACCTGCTGGTGTTGGTAGCCAGCACCATGCTGCTGTGTTGGTTGAGACGCCGGATGATGATTGCGTTGCTGCTGCTCCGGGCCGATGAGGCGGTGGAGGCGGTGGAGGAGGAGGTGCAGGAGGAGGTGGAGGGAGGGGAGGAGCTCCCGTAGCCCTGCACACAGAGACAAAGGTCCCCCGCGCAGCCTTCCAAGGGCCGTAGGGGCGAGTGCGGCGGTGGGCGGCGCCTCAGCGGCAGGCACAGGCAAAGCTTCCCGAGGCAGGTAGCCTCTAGCGGGCCGCGGGGGCAAGTGCCGTTAGCGAGCGGCGCCTACGGAAGCCGCCACAGAGGGGGTGGGTGGCCGGCGCCGCGCCCGGCCGCCTTTGTCTCCCCAGTGGCGGTGTTTACTACGCACCGCCGCACCGGCGACTCAGTTGGGGCCGAGTCGACCTAGGGGAGGCCCAAGACCGGTTCAGATAATCATCGCCCGGCGGTGTTGGCCGTGAGCGGGAATCGAACTCGGGTCGCCGGGTTCGTAGCGCAGCGTAGCGCTAACCACAACACCCACCGCTCCCCACACACACAGACGCACACACACAAACACACATTGTGTCTGTGTGTGTGTGTGTCTGTTGTGTGTGTCTCAGCGTCACCATCCTCACCGTGGTGTATCCACTGCTGGGTGAAGATCAACGTGTTGGTGATGTCTCTACCCTGTGTGTGTGTGTTCTCTAATCATCGTACTCCGCTCTCTAAGTCTCTCAGCGTCACCATCATCACCAGGGTCTATCCACTGCTGGGTGGACACCATGCGTACCTCCCCGAGGGAGGAATCTCCCATGGCAGTAAGGTCCAGGAGAGGATTCCACACTCCCCTATCTACAATCTCCTGCAGCCCTGCACATACACACGTACACACACACAAATGTAAACACATGTACACACACACACGTACACACACACGTACACACACACACGTACACACATACACATGTACACAACAACAACCGCCATTCGCCACTAAGTGGCGGTGACGTCACCACGACGCTTGTGCCAGGCTATGTGCACCCTGAGGCCACGTGAAGTGTCGAACGCCCGCGGGCAGGAGGTCACGGGGCAGACCCAGGTGCCACGGGTCGACTGACTGAGATGACTGGCTGATGCACCACCTGTGCCCCCTACTGTGCCAACCTGCTGTGCTTTAGCCACCCGGCGCTCCGCTCGTTGTTGTGAGCGTCGCTCCTCCGCCCTCCGTTGTTGTTGGAGGACGAATGCCTCCAACTGCCCAATAGCGTCCTTCAAGAGCCTCCTCCACAGAGGCCGATCTTGACATCGCTGGTACCGGTCATCGGCAAGTCCACTCAGCTCCACGTCCTCCTGTACCACATCACTCCATCTCTTCTCTAGCCCGTGCCGCGCCCATTTAGCCCCCTCGATCCGGCCGAACAAAAGCTGTTTCGGCATGCGGTGGCTGGGCATGCGGGCTACATGACCCAGCCAACGCAGCCTTGCCTGCCGGAGCTCACCGATGGAACCTTGCCCAGCCTGGTTAAACCCAGGATGGATCGTAGGCAGGCTAGCCAAAATGTTTCCAACCGGCGAAGATGCTCCATTAAGGGGGTCCATGTTTCGCAAGCGTAGAGAAGGGAGGGAATGACCGTGGCCGAGAAGACCTGAAGCTTAGTGCGGAGCGACAGACCAGGTAGCTTCCACACAGCGTTACGCAACCGATGAAAAGATATTGCCGCTCGACTGATTCGGAGTGAGACCTCTGCTGTTAAACTGGAGCCGGTCATAAGCACACTGCCCAGGTATAGGAAACTCTCCACTCTCTCCACAACTGCCCCATCACCGATTGAGTGTTGTGGGGGTGGAGTGTCCGATGGTACAAAATACCCAGGCAGGTGCTTAGTTTTGGTGGGGCTGGTGGGAAGGCCCCATCTCTTAGTGGCACACTCCAGTCTCAGCAGCAGCGTTTCCAACTTCTCCTCTGAATGAGCAACTATTACCAAATCATCGGCATACATAACGTGGTTGAGCAATAGGGAGCCATCCCTTGACCGCACCCGGGCATCGATCAGCCTCCCATTATATCTGTACCAAATGGAGATTCCCCCAGTACAGCTATTGAAGACTTCACGAACTATGTGATCAAAATAGATGTTAAATAATGTGGGAGCCAGAGGATATCCCTGTCGCACCCCAAGGTGTACAGGGAATGGCTCTGACTCCCGGCCACGTAGTTTTACCCGGGCCCGCTCACCATCATGAAGGTCCTTAATGATTGTGAGCAGAGGGTCAGGGACTCCAAAAGCACGAAGAACAACCCAGAGCCCAGGCCTACTGATGGTATCATAGGCCTTGACCAGGTCAATAAAGCAGAGATGTAGGTCTTGTTGGAATTCCCTACACCTCTGCTGTAGCAGACGGACAGAAAATATGGCATCTGTGCAGGACCGCCCTTTCCTGAAACCGCATTGGGGCTCCGCAAGCCTCTCCTCAGCGTGCCTGGCAAGGCGATGTTGAATAATCCTTGCCAGGACCTTTCCCGGCACACTGAGTGAGATGCCCCTGTAGTTGTTACAGTCTGTGCGGTCCCCCTTCTTAAAAAGGGGGACCACCAGGGCATCCTTCCAATCCTGCGGAACCTGTCCAGTGGTCCAGACTGTTGTTATGATGTCATATAGGGCAGTCTGTGCACAAACGCCACCCTCTCTCAGCATTTCGCTTGGGAGACCGTCTCTACCCGGTGCCTTTCCTGGTCTCAGACTCCGGATCGCCTTCAGTACTTCCTCAACAGATGGCACCTCAGCCAGCCACTCACAGGGGGTGACTTCTTCCAATATTTGAGGCACTGCAGCCTCAGCAGGGTCATCCTCACTTTGTGTCACGATGTTTTCCTGGCTGAGGGATTTTCCCTCCCCCAGGACCTCACAGAAATGCTCAGCAAATCTGCAAACCTGTTTCTGGGGGTCGGAGATTGGATCACCGTTTTTTCCCCTAATGATGGTAATAGGTGTGGCGCTGCAGGTTACTTTTTTGATGGGGTTAAATAGAGATTTGTGATCACGGGCCACTGAGGCAGACTCCATCTCCTCAGCAACCCGCGACCACCACCCATCCTTGCAGCGCCTCACAGCTCTCCGAGCGAAGGCTGCGGTAAGCCTCCTCATTCTCTGACGTGGGATTCTGTAGCCGATGACAGTGGGCCTGTCGCTTTTTCTCAACCATCCTGGACACCTCCTCTGTCAGCCAGGGTCTCTGGGGAGGTCTGGACCACATACCCAAAGTAGCCATTGCAGCAGCATGAGTGACGGTCCTAAACCTCGCCCATTTACCCTCGACATCAGGAGGAGTCGGGGACGATGCCAATCCCAGCCGCAAGCGATGATGAAATTCTCGCTTGCAACTTTCATCAGATAACTGAGACCAGGCCACTTTAGGTTGGAATGGGGTCCTGGGAGTACACCCACCACCGGAGTGGAAGAATGGCAGGCGCATCTTACAGATGACTAGTTGATGGTCAGATGGCAGATCAGCTCCACGGTAAGTCCTGGTGTCAAGCACATGGGCTCGCATCCGCTGGTCCGTCACTATGTAGTTCAGCAGATGTTCTTGCTTGGACCCGGCATGCATCCATGATGTTGTGTGGATGCGCCGATGCCGGAACAGCGTGTTGGTAATTACAAGCCCATGGGCTGCACAAACATCTAGCAGCCTCCTACCGTTGTTATTGAGCTGATCTGGCCAATGCCCTCCAATCACTCCAGAACAGGTGCCAGCATCATGACCAACTCAGGCATTGAAGTCACCCAACAAGATGACTCTACCCCGAAGGGCCACTTTAGCCAGCACCTGTGACAGGTCATAGAAGGCATCTGACTCATCGGCTTTGCCTGCATCCCTCCACGGATGTTCGTCTTCAGTGGGGGCATAAGTAACCACGACCTCCACTCCTCGCCTCACGTACACACACATGTACACACACACGTACACACACACACACACGCACACACACGTACACACACACGTACACACACACACGTACACACACGCACACACACGCACACACACACACGCACACGTACACACACACACGCACACACACACACGTACACACACACACACGCACACACGTACACACACGTACACACACGCACGTACACACACGCACGTACACACACACACGTACACACACACGTACACACACACGTACACACACGTACACACATACGTACACACACACGTACACACACGCACGTACACACACACGTACACACACGTACACACACACGTACACACACACGTACACACACGTACACACACGTACACACACATGTACACACACACACGTACACACACACGTACACACACACACACACACGTACACACACACGTACACACACACACACGTACACACCCCCCCACCTCTCTCGTCCTGCTTGGCACACTCCGAGAAGATGTCCTGGCTGCCGGAGCTGAGGCGGTCGCGGTGGAAGTAGTGGGACTGGAAGAAGCGCGTCCAGAACTCGCGCTCCGTCATCGCGTGCGGGACGTTGCCCACAAACTTCTCTCTCACTGGGGGGGTGACAGGGAGGGAGATGGAGGGAGGAGACTCGCATAGACCCAGACTCACATGGAAAGCCATTAACTCACACAGGGGAGATAGTGTCCCAGCATGTCCCTGGACGTCCCCACATGTCCCAGAGTGACCCTGCATGTCCCCCCCCGTGTCTCCCCGTGTCTCCCCGTGTCTCCCCGTGTCCCTCCCGTGTCCCCCCCCGTGTCTCCTGTGTCCCCCCCCGTGTCTCCCCGTGTCTCCCCGTGTCTCCCCGTGTCTCCTGTGTCCCCCCCCCGTGTCTCCCGTGTCTCCCCGTGTCTCCCCGTGTCTCCCTGTGTCCCTCCCGTGTCCCCCCCGTGTCTCCTCCGTGTCCCCTCCGTGTCCCCCCGTGTCTCCCCGTGTCTCCCCGTGTCTCCCGTGTCTCCCCGTGTCTCCCCATGTCCCCCCGTGTCTCCCCGTGTCTCCCCGTGTCCTACCCGCGGGGTAAGTAGTGAAGATGGACTGGATGATGTCATTGGTCAGGTTGTACTTGAGGCCATTACAGCCGTCAGCCTGGGGACGCACATCCGCCTGGGAGACACAGGGACACGCGGGGACACGCGGGGAGACAGTAAAATAGTAGACATCCACACACGGCCACCGTGAACTCAGCCACACGGCCACCGTGAACTCAGCCACACGACCACCGTGAACTCGACCACACGGCCACCGTGAACTCAGCCACATGGCCACTGTGAACTCAGCCACACGGCCACCGTGAACTCAGCCACATGGCCACCGTGAACTCAGCCACACGACCACCATGAACACAGAGACACGGCCACCGTGAACTCAGCCACACGACCACCGTGAACCCAGCCACACGGCCACCGTGAACTCAGCCACACGACCACCGTGAACTCAGCCACACGACCACCGTGAACACAGCCACACGGCCACCGTGAACACAGAGACACGGCCACCGTGAACACAGAGACACGGCCACCGTGAACTCAGCCACACGACCACCGTGAACTCAGCCACACGACCACCGTGAACTCAGCCACACGACCACCGTGAACACAGAGACACGGCCACCGTGAACACAGCCACACGGCCACTGTAAACACAGAGACACGGCCACCGTGAACTCAGCCACACGACCACCGTGAACTTAGCCACACGACCACCGTGAACTCAGCCACACGGCCACCGTGAACACAGAGACACGGCCACCGTGAACTCAGCCACACGGCCACCGTGAACTCAGCCACACGGCCACCGTGAACTCAGCCACACGACCACCGTGAACACAGAGACACGGCCACCATGAACTCAGCCACACGACCACCGTGAACTCAGCCACACGACCACCGTGAACTCAGCCACACGGCCACCGTGAACACAGCCACACGGCCACCGTGAACTCAGCCACACGACCACCGTGAACCCTCACCAGGAATGCTGCGGAGACCCCCACGGTCTGGGGGGAGGGGGAGGGGCCTTCGGCTCCGCCGCTCGCGATCCGATTGGCCCAGAACTCCTCGGCCGAGATCACGTGCCCCACCACCAGCTCCTTGTACAGCAGGAAGAGCACTGGGTCCTGCTGCAGCAGCCTGCACACATTACCATAAATTAGCATAAACTTACATTAACATACCATAGCACACATTTGCATGCATTACCTGTGGTACATATGAAGACTGCTGGGGCAAGTGCTGTGAGTAGCGAGCAGCAGCAGCAGCGCCTGTGAAGGCTCCCGGCACTGTGGCACACACAGAGGGGGTGGGTGGCCAGCACCACGCCCGCCCGGCCACCTTTGTCTCTCTCCGCGGCTCATGGTTACACATCGCATCGGGAACTCATTTAAGGCCGACTCTACCTAGGGGAGGCCCATGACCGCGTACATATATTAAGCACCTACATTGCTTAAACAACAAACGACTAAACCACGTTGAATTTTATCAGGTCAGGCCCCACTGAGTTGTGTGGCTCTTATTCAGACCAGCGACCTGGCAATCACAATGGCAACAGCTCACCCACGTGGCTGATAGCACCACCACCACCGTGTGGACATTCACATCACCACCACCACCACCGTGTGGACATTCACATCACCATCACCACCACCACCACCGTGTGTACATTCACATCACCACCACCACCGTGTGTACATTCACATCACCACCACCACCGTGTGGACATTCACATCACCACCACCACCACCGTGTGTACATTCACATCACCACCACGGTGTGGACATTCACATAATCACCACCACCACCACCGTGTGGACATTCACATCATCACCACCACCACCGTGTGGACATTCACATCACCACCACCACCACCACCGTGTGTACATTCACATCACCACCACCACCGTGTGTACATTCACATCACCACCACCACCGTGTGGACATTCACATCACCACCACCACCACCGTGTGTACATTCACATCACCACCACCACCGTGTGGACATTCACATCACCACCACCACCACCACCGTGTGGACATTCACATCACCACCACCACCACCGTGTGGACATTCACATCACCACCACCACCGTGTGTACATTCACATCACCACCACCGTGTGGACATTCACATCATCACCACCACCACCGTGTGGACATTCACATCACCACCACCACTGTGTAGACATTCACATCACCACCACCACCACCGTGTGGACATTCACATCACCACCACCACCACCGTGTGGACATTCACATCACCACCACCGTGTGGACATTCACATCATCACCACCACCACCGTGTGGACATTCACATCACCACCACCGTGTGGACATTCACATCATCACCACCACCACCGTGTGGACATTCACATCACCACCACCACCGTGTAGACATTCACATCACCACCACCACCACCGTGTGGACATTCACATCACCACCACCACCACCGTGTGGACATTCACATCACCACCACCACCGTGTGTACATTCACATCACCACCACCGTGTGGACATTCACATCATCACCACCACCACCGTGTGGACATTCACATCACCACCACCGTGTAGACATTCACATCACCACCACCACCGTGTGGACATTCACATCACCACCAACTCCTCTGAACGTGCGGTGACGTTGATTCTAAACGTGGGGGGGAAAGCCGGAGGAGGACACGGAGACAAATCTACGGGGAGAGAGACGCAGACTCCACACAGACAGGGGTCGAATCCACGACCTCCTGTAGACCAGGCGAGATAGTCAACATCTCATGGCCACACACAAAGAGACAGCAGCAGGCATCGTCAGGGTCGGGATCGAACCCACGACCTCCTGTAGACCAGGCGAGGTAGTCAACATCTCTAGTCAGGACCCACGACCTCCTGTAGACCAGGCGAGGTAGTCAACATTTCTCGTCAGGACCCACGACCTCCTGTAGACCAGGCGAGGTAGTCAACATCTCTAGTCAGGACCCACAGCCTCCTGTACCCCATGACAAGTAGTTATCTACTGTAACACCACGTGACAAGTAGTTATCTACTGTAACACCACGTGACAAAGTTATCTACTGTAACACCACGTGACAAGTAGTTATCTACTGTAGCACCACGTGACAAGTAGTTATCTACTGTAGCACCACATGACAAGTAGTTATCTACTGTAACACCACGTGACAAGTAGTTATCTACTGTAACACCACGTGACAGTAGTTATCTACTGTAACACCACGTGACAGTAGTTATCTACTGTAGCACCACGTGACAAGTAGTTATCTACTGTAACACCACGTGACAGTAGTTATCTACTGTAGCACCACGTGACAGTAGTTATCTACTGTAACACCACGTGACAAGTAGTTATCTACTGTAGCACCACGTGACAAGTAGTTATCTACTGTAGCAGCACGTGACAGTAGTTATCTACTGTAACACCACGTGACAGTAGTTATCTACTGTAACACCACGTGACAAGTAGTTATCTACTGTAGCACCACGTGACAGTAGTTATCTACTGTAGCACCACGTGAGCACACGGCATGGGGATAGACGGTGCAGCGGTCAGCACCGCGCCACGAACCCGGCCACCGAAGTTCGACTCCCGCTCACGGCCACCAACGCCGGCGGGGTTGACGAGGATCTGAACGGATCCCGGGATTCCCCTAGGTCTACTCCGGCCTCAACCGAGTAGCTAGCGGCTGCGTAGTAAACATCGCCACCGGGGAGACAAAGGCGGCCGCCGGCGCCGCCCGCGGACGGCGCTCGCCCTGACGGCCTGGGCGGGGCGGGGAGGGGTCAGTACCGGTTCTTGTGCTCCAGCTCCTGGTTGGCTCTGCGCTTGAAGCGAGGCAGCAGCTGCTGCAGCAGCTCCTTGACGGAGTCGCGGTCGCGAGACGCCGCGGCCGCCGAACCGCCCCCCACGGCCGGGGGGGGCCCCGCCGCCCCCCCCCGCCGAGGAGGCGGGCGGCTGCTCCCCGCCCCCCGCGGGGCCCCCCGTGAAGTGGAAGGTGGTGGCCTCGCCGCCGTGCGTGATCACCTGGAGCTGAACCTTGGCCCTGCCGTCCGGGGTGATCTTCTGGCCTGCGTGGGGGGCGGGCGGGTGGGCGGGTGGGTGAGTGGGTGAGCGGGTGAGTGGGTGGGTGGGTGGGTGAGGGGGTGAGTGGGTGGATGGGTGAGTGAGTGAGTGGGTGAGTGAGTGGGTGAGTGAGTGAGTGGGTGGGTGAGTGAGTGAGTGGGTGAGTGGGTGGGTGGGTGAGTGAGTGGGTGGGTGAGTGAGTGGGTGGGTGAGTGAGAGAGTGGGTGAGTGAGTGGGTGAGTGAGTGGGTGAGTGAGTGGGCGGGCAGGCGAGTGGGTGAGCGAGTGGGTGAGTGAGTGGGTGAGTGAGTGGGTGGGTGAGTGGGTGAGTGAGTGGGTGAGTGAGTGGGTGAGTGGGTGAGTGAGTGGGTGAGTGGGTGGGTGAGTGGGTGGGTGAGCGTGTGGGTGAGCGTGTGGGTGAGCGTGTGGGTGAGCATGTGGGTGAGCGTGTGGGTGAGCGTGTGGGTGAGCGTGTGGGTGAGTGGGTGGCTGGGTGAGCGTGTGGGTGAGCGTGTGGGTGAGTGGGTGGCTGGGTGAGCGTGTGGGTGAGCGTGTGGGTGAGCGTGTGGCTGGGTGAGTGGGTGGCTGGGTGAGCGTGTGGGTGAGCGTGTGGCTGGGTGAGCGTGTGGGTGAGCGTGTGGGTGAGCGTGTGGGTGAGTGTGTGGGTGAGCGTGTGGCTGGGTGAGCGTGTGGGTGAGCGTGTGGCTGGGTGAGCGTGTGGGTGAGCGTGTGGGTGAGCGTGTGGGTGAGCGTGTGGGTGAGCGTGTGGGTGAGTGGGTGGCTGGGTGAGCGTGTGGGTGAGCGTGTGGGTGAGCGTGTGGGTGAGCGTGTGGGTGAGCGTGTGGCTGGGTGAGTGGGTGGCTGGGTGAGCGTGTGGGTGAGCGTGTGGCTGGGTGAGCATGTGGGTGAGCGTGTGGGTGAGCGTGTGGGTGAGTGTGTGGGTGAGCGTGTGGCTGGGTGAGCGTGTGGGTGAGCGTGTGGCTGGGTGAGCGTGTGGGTGAGCGTGTGGGTGAGCGTGTGGGTGAGCGTGTGGGTGAGCGGGTGGGTGAGCGTGTGGGTGAGCGTGTGGGTGAGCGTGTGGGTGAGCGTGTGGGTGAGCGTGTGCCCACTCTGTATGTCTGCGTAGTCGATGCTGGCGGTGAAGCGGTGGGTGCCACGGGCTCCCCATGCCAGGCGACCCGCCATGAGGTACAGGCTCCCGTCCTGCTTTCTGTACCGCACGTGTGAGACCAGCAGCAGGACCTCCTCCGAGCTGGACATTGTCGGCCTCGCTCACCTGCTCACTCGGTCAGTCAGTCAGTCAGTCGGTCACTCCACCGCTCCCTCAGTCACTCCACCGCTCCCTCAGTCACTCCACCGCTCACCCAGTCACTCCCCCGCTCACCCAGTCACTCCACCGCTCCCTCAGTCACTCCACCGCTCACCCAGTCACTCCCCCGCTCACCCAGTCACTCCGCCGCTCACCCAGTCACTCCACCGCTCCCTCAGTCACTCCACCGCTCACCCAGTCACTCTCCCGCTCACCCAGTCACTCCACCACTCACCCAGTCACTCTCCCGCTCACCCAGTCACTCTCCCGCTCACCCAGTCACTCCACCGCTCCCTCAGTCACTCCCCCGCTCACCCAGTCACTCCCCCGCTCACCCAGTCACTCCCTCGCTCACCCAGTCACTCCCCCGCTCACCCAGTCACTCTCCCACTCACCCAGTCACTCTCCCGCTCACCCAGTCACTCCACCGCTCACTCAGTCACTCCACCACTCACCCAGTCACTCCCCCGCTCACCCAGTCACTCCACCGCTCACCCAGTCACTCCACCGCTCACCCAGTCACTCTCCCGGTCACCCAGTCACTCTCCCGCTCACCCAGTCACTCCACCACTCACCCAGTCACTCTGCCGCTCACCCAGTCACTCCTCCGCTCACCCAGTCACTCCACCGCTCACCCAGTCACTCCACCACTCACCCAGTCACTCCACCGCTCACCCAGTCACTCTCCCACTCACCCAGTCACTCCACCGCTCCCTCAGTCACTCCACCACTCACCCAGTCACTCCCCCGCTCACCCAGTCACTCTCCCGATCCCTCAGTCACTCTCCCCCTCACCCAGTCACTCTCCCGCTCACCCAGTCACTCCACCGCTCACCCAGTCACTCCACCGCTCACCCAGTCACTCCCCCGCTCACCCAGTCACTCCCCCGCTCACCCAGTCACTCCCCCGCTCACCCAGTCACTCCCCCGCTCACCCAGTCACTCTCCCGCTCACCCAGTCACTCTCCCGCTCACCCAGTCACTCCACCGCTCACCCAGTCACTCTCCCGCTCACCCAGTCACTCTCCCGCTCACCCAGTCACTCCCCCGCTCACCCAGTCACTCCCCCGCTCACCCAGTCACTCTCCCGCTCACCCAGTCACTCCACCGCTCACCCAGTCACTCCACCGCTCACCCAGTCACTCCACCGCTCACCCAGTCACTCCCCCGCTCACCCAGTCACTCTCCCGCTCACCCAGTCACTCCCCCGCTCACCCAGTCACTCCCCCGCTCACTCAGTCACTCTCCCGCTCACCCAGTCACTCTCCCGCTCACCCCGTCACTCCCCCGCTCACCCAGTCACTCCCCCGCTCACTCAGTCACTCTCCCGCTCACCCAGTCACTCTCCAGCTCACCCAGTCACTCCCCCGCTCACCCAGTCACTCTCCCGCTCACCCAGTCACTCCCCCGCTCGCCCAGTCACTACCCCGCTCACTCAGTCACTCTCCCGCTCACCCAGTCACTCCCCCGCTCACCCAGTCACTCTCCCGCTCACCCAGTCACTCTCCAGCTCACCCAGTCACTCCCCCGCTCACCCAGTCACTCGCCCGCTCACCCAGTCACTCCCCCGCTCACCCAGTCACTCCCCCGCTCACCCAGTCACTCTCCAGCTCACCCAGTCACTCCCCCGCTCACCCAGTCACTCCCCCGCTCACCCAGTCACTCTCCAGCTCACCCAGTCACTCCCCCGCTCACCCAGTCACTCCCCCGCTCACCCAGTCACTCTCCAGCTCACCCAGTCACTCCCCCGCTCACCCAGTCACTCCCCCGCTCACCCAGTCACTCCCCCGCTCACCCAGTCACTCTCCAGCTCACCCAGTCACTCCCCCGCTCACCCAGTCACTCTCCAGCTCACCCAGTCACTCTCCAGCTCACCCAGTCACTCCCCCGCTCACCCAGTCACTCCCCCGCTCACCCAGTCACTCTCCAGCTCACCCAGTCACTCCCCCGCTCACCCAGTCACTCCCCCGCTCACCCAGTCACTCCCCGCTCACCCAGTCACTCTCCAGCTCACCCAGTCACTCCCCCGCTCACCCAGTCACTCTCCCCGCTCACCCAGTCACTCCCCCGCTCACCCAGTCACTCTCCAGCTCACCCAGTCACTCCCCCGCTCACCCAGTCACTCCCCCGCTCACTCAGTCACTCTCCCGCTCACCCAGTCACTCTCCAGCTCACCCAGTCACTCCCCCGCTCACCCAGTCACTCTCCCGCTCACCCAGTCACTCCCCCGCTCGCCCAGTCACTCCCCCGCTCACTCAGTCACTCTCCCGCTCACCCAGTCACTCCCCCGCTCACCCAGTCACTCTCCCGCTCACCCAGTCACTCTCCAGCTCACCCAGTCACTCCCCCGCCCACCCAGTCACTCTCCAGCTCACCCAGTCACTCCCCCGCTCACCCAGTCACTCCCCCGCTCACCCAGTCACTCTCCAGCTCACCCAGTCACTCCCCCGCTCACCCAGTCACTCCCCCGCTCACCCAGTCACTCTCCAGCTCACCCAGTCACTCCCCCGCTCACCCAGTCACTCCCCCGCTCACCCAGTCACTCTCCAGCTCACCCAGTCACTCCCCCGCTCACCCAGTCACTCCCCCGCTCACCCAGTCACTCCCCCGCTCACCCAGTCACTCTCCAGCTCACCCAGTCACTCCCCCGCTCACCCAGTCACTCTCCAGCTCACCCAGTCACTCTCCAGCTCACCCAGTCACTCCCCCGCTCACCCAGTCACTCCCCCGCTCACCCAGTCACTCTCCAGCTCACCCAGTCACTCCCCCGCTCACCCAGTCACTCCCCCGCTCACCCAGTCACTCTCCAGCTCACCCAGTCACTCCCCCGCTCACCCAGTCACTCCCCGCTCACCCAGTCACTCCCCCGCTCACCCAGTCACTCTCCAGCTCACCCAGTCACTCCCCCGCTCACCCAGTCACTCTCCAGCTCACCCAGTCACTCTCCAGCTCACCCAGTCACTCCCCCGCTCACCCAGTCACTCCCCCGCTCACCCAGTCACTCTCCAGCTCACCCAGTCACTCCCCCGCTCACCCAGTCACTCCCCCGCTCACCCAGTCACTCTCCAGCTCACCCAGTCACTCCCCCGCTCACCCAGTCACTCCCCCGCTCACCCAGTCACTCCCCCGCTCACCCAGTCACTCTCCAGCTCACCCAGTCACTCCCCCGCTCACCCAGTCACTCTCCAGCTCACCCAGTCACTCTCCAGCTCACCCAGTCACTCCCCCGCTCACCCAGTCACTCCCCCGCTCACCCAGTCACTCTCCAGCTCACCCAGTCACTCCCCCGCTCACCCAGTCACTCCCCCGCTCACCCAGTCACTCTCCAGCTCACCCAGTCACTCCCCCGCTCACCCAGTCACTCCCCCGCTCACCCAGTCACTCCCCCGCTCACCCAGTCACTCTCCAGCTCACCCAGTCACTCCCCCGCTCACCCAGTCACTCTCCAGCTCACCCAGTCACTCTCCAGCTCACCCAGTCACTCCCCCGCTCACCCAGTCACTCCCCCGCTCACCCAGTCACTCTCCAGCTCACCCAGTCACTCCCCCGCTCACCCAGTCACTCCCCCGCTCACCCAGTCACTCTCCAGCTCACCCAGTCACTCCCCCGCTCACCCAGTCACTCCCCCGCTCACCCAGTCACTCCCCCGCTCACCCAGTCACTCTCCAGCTCACCCAGTCACTCCCCCGCTCACCCAGTCACTCTCCAGCTCACCCAGTCACTCTCCAGCTCACCCAGTCACTCCCCCGCTCACCCAGTCCACTCCCCCGCTCACCCAGTCACTCTCCAGCTCACCCAGTCACTCCCCCGCTCACCCAGTCACTCCCCCGCTCACCCAGTCACTCTCCAGCTCACCCAGTCACTCCCCCGCTCACCCAGTCACTCTCCAGCTCACCCAGTCACTCCACCACTCACCCAGTCACTCTCTGTCAATGCTCTCTCAGTCACTCTCCCACTCACCCAGTCACTCTCCCGCTCCCTCACTGGTCTGTCACTGCTCCCCCACTGCCCCCACTGCTCCCCCACTGCTCCCTCACCGCTCTCACTGCTCCCCCACTGCCCCCCCACTGCTCCGCCACTGCCCCTCCACTGCCCACTGCTCCCCCGCCCACTGCTCCCCCCCCCCGCCCACTGCTCCCCCCCCCCGCCCACTGCTCCCCCCCCCCGCCCACTGCTCCCCCACCGCCCCCCCACCCGCCCCCCCACCGCCCCCCCACCGCCCCCCCACCGCTCCGCCTCTCCCGCCTCACCTGGGCCGCGTGAAGCCCGCGCGAGGCTGCAGAACGACCGCGCGTGCCCACGAGACCGCGCCCCGCCAGCCCTCCGCTGCCTGCCAGTAACGCCGCCTCCGATTGGCTCAGAGCGCCGTGACGTCATCCGCGCACACCGGAAGCGTTTTGCGTCGCGATTCGACGATACCTGTTATGACGTCATGTATTTGTATGTATGAAACCACGTTTTACGTTCATTTGACGTCATATGCGTAGAGCGTCATGCTTTTGTTTGCTCGATGCCAGTTTTGCAACTTAGTATGACGGATGATGGTGGCTTGGCTCGATCCATGGATCGACGCAGCGGTTCACCACGCTGTGAATCGATTCACGATCCCCCCACCAGCACCTTGCGTGGCTGTGATTTTGAGAATGAGAATTTTACCGTCGACTATAAACTACATTACACTATTGTACACTAAACTATACACTACTGTACACTACACTATACACGACTATATAATACACTATACACTACTATGCACTACACTATGACACTATACACTACTTTTTGATTTAAAGCTTTCGTGACTGCAGTAATTCAAACGCCATGTCTCGGACCGCATTCGTGAACACAAAGCAGACCTTAAACACGGTAGGACCAACACCTCGGGCGTGGCGGATCATTGTTCTAATTCAGTAGGCTCACATGACATTGACTTTTCCAAGACAGAGGTTCTTTGTAAGCCATCTGGCTACCATGAGAGATTCGTTCATGAGGCTATCCACATATACAAGCACAGAGACAATTTCAACCGAGCAGATGGATTCTGGCTTAGCAATCATTGGAAAGATTTGATAAACCATTTCAGGTCTTAATTGATTGTTCACGCTTACGGTGGCTTTCAGACAGCATACATTAATTTTTCGTCTCCCCCCTCCTCTTTTCAGAACATAGATGGACTCGTCCTTCTAAATAAACTGCAATATCGCTGCGCGTGGCGCTAAAGGTTTTTTTTAAATACATAAACCCGTTTACAAATAAATACATGTATGCAAACCGACACACCTGATGACGACCGTTTGTGTTATGGTCGAAACGTCGTGAGAATTTTTATTGTTTTATATATATTTTATTATTTTATTGTTTCCCTTCAACGTTACTTTACCGAAAGAACTAAGAATACTATACACTACTATATACTACACTGTGGTCGTGTGTGCGCATGCGCGGGGAGGGGGGGGTTGAAGTTTTCCCGCCAAAAAGGTAACGGTACCGTACGTATAAGAATAGGTTTTACCCTTTTAACTGGCACAAAAAACTGACACCTTTATTCAAGGCATGTTTGCAATAACCACAACACAAGCAGTCAAAATGCAAACAAAAAAGACAACTCTGATAATAATATGCACTGTCCTTGAATTTGATTGGTCCACACCCGAGACAGCTTTTCTTAGAGCCTAGTCTCCATTGGTGTTGGACCAGAAGACGCCAAAAGGCGTACAACTCAAAAACAGCGCACTCTCAGAGCATTGAGGGCTCGGGGTGAGCATTAACATTATGAGACCTCCTTTGCCAGAAACAAGATATAAGAATAGGTTTTACCCTTTTAACTGGCACAAAAACTGACACCTTTATTCAAGGCATGTTTGCAATAACCACAACACAAGCAGTCAAAATGCAAACAAAAAAGACAACTCTGATAATAATATGCACTGTCCTTGAATTTGATTGGTCCACACCCGAGACAGCTTTTCTTAGAGCCTAGTCTCCATTGGTGTTGGACCAGAAGACGCCAAAAGGCGTACAACTCAAAAACAGCGCACTCTCAGAGCATTGAGGGCTCGGGGTGAGCATTAACATTATGAGACCTCCTTTGCCAGAAACAAGATATAAGAATAGGTTTTACCCTTTTAACTGGCACAAAAACTGACACCTTTATTCAAGGCATGTTTGCAATAACCACAACACAAGCAGTCAAAATGCAAACCTAAAATGTGCCAGTTAAAAGGGTAAAACCTATTCTTATATCTTGTTTCTGGCAAAGGAGGTCTCATAATGTTAATGCTCACCCCGAGCCCTCAATGCTCTGAGAGTGCGCTGTTTTTGAGTTGTACGCCTTTTGGCGTCTTCTGGTCCAACACCAATGGAGACTAGGCTCTAAGAAAAGCTGTCTCGGGTGTGGACCAATCAAATTCAAGGACAGTGCATATTATTATCAGAGTTGTCTTTTTTGTTTGCATTTTGACTGCTTGTGTTGTGGTTATTGCAAACATGATGCCTTGAATAAAGGTGTCAGTTTTTGTGCCAGTTAAAAGGGTAAAACCTATTCTTATATCTTGTTTCTGGCAAAGGAGGTCTCATAATGGTACCGTACGTCTCAACGTCACGGCCGTGCACGCGCTGTGGTCCCATGTGCGCATGCGCGGGGAGCGGGGTGGGTTGAAGTTTTCCCGCCAAAAAGGTAAAGGTACCGTACGTCTCAACGTCACGGCCGTTCACGCGCTGTGGTCCCGTGTGCGCATGCGCGGGGGGGGGGGTGAAGTTTTCCCGCCAAAACGGTAACGGTTGCGGCTGCTACCCCGCTATTGGTTTTAAATCGGCGGTCAAAAGTTGAGACTTTCACGAGGTAAACTTGGCCTTTAATGTCTCGTTTTGGCCGCGTTTGTGAGGGAAATGTCATCATTTCGGGCTCATTTCACGCGGCGACGCGGGCGTTTGTTGTGCAATTTGAACGTGATTGTATGCGGTTAGCGCTTATATACGGGTGTTTTACTTCATATACAAGTCGCATTCACGCGCATCTGTTTGCAACATTGAATCAATTTCCGCACAAATAACCAATTCCGTGGCCGTCTGGCCTTAACGTGTCAAGTTTATATACAGTAGCCGACGTTTCAAGCGATGCCCCTTCACAAATTATATTTTTTTGCGTATGGTGAGATGCTGGGTGCACCTAGCCTGGCACGGACGCGGTAACATTTAGCAACTGCAGTGGCATCTGTTTCACTTAACTTTCTTGTGAAGGGGCAATTGCCCGAAACGTCGCCGATGTATATTTAAGGCCACAAATGGTGGCTAATAACCCCACGCCCGGCCGTCTTTGTCTCTCCCCAGTGCTGATCTTTTACACGCTGCACCAGGTACTCATTTAAGGCTGAGTCGACCTAAGGGAGGGTTCAGATATTCTCTCGCCATGAGCAGGAATTGAACTTGTGGTTCTCTGGTATCGTGGCATCGAATGCTCAAATACTTTAACAAGTTTTGGATTTAAAGCTTTCGTGACTGCAGGGATTCATATTCTTGGTTCATTCGGTAAAGTCACCACGTGGAAGGGAAACGATAAAATAATAAAAATATAAAACAATTAAATTCTCACGACGTTTCTTGCTGTTTTTCACACCTGATGATGATTGCTTGTGTTGCAGTCGAAACGTCGTGAGAATTTTATTGGTTTATTATTTTATTGTTCCCCTTCTACGTGGTGACTTTACCGAAAGAATCAAGAATATACTTTAACAAGCTTTAATGGTCGTGAAACAGTAAAAAAAAACGGGGTAAACCAGCTTAGTGTCTTACGTTTCATTTATTTATTCAAATGTAGTAATTTATTGCCGCTAATTTCTAGTGGGAAAAAACACAGCTGTGGTTACCCGTGCCGCGTGCGGTGACCGCAGGACTGGTTCTGGTTCGGTGCTGGCTCGGTTCGGCAAGGAGCCAGTGGAAAAACAGCGGTGGTGACCCGTGCCGGCCGTTGACTGCAGGATGAGTGGAGGCCGCTCGTGGCTACGCTGCTGCCTGCCTCGCAGCCACACACAGCCTGAGGAGGAGGACGACGACAACGAGATGCAGGTTCGCGATGGCCGGGTGGCCGGGTTCATATTGACTGTGTGGCTGGGTTCACGATGGTCGTGTGGCTGGGTTCACGATGGCCGTGTGGTCGAGTTCACGGTGGCCGTGTGGCTGAGTTCACGGTGGCCGTGTGGCTGTGTTCACGGTGGTCGTGTGGCTGAGTTCACGGTGGTCGTGTGGCCGAGTTCACGGTGGTCGTGTGGCGGGGTTCACGGTGGCCGTGTGGCTGAGATGCGGTGATCCCGCGTCCCAACGATTTGGTTCCGGATCGGCGAGTAAGCAGTGGAAAAACCACCACCTGTACCCGTACCGGGCTGGCCACCCACCCCCCGTCTCGCGCGACAATAACGGCATTCTTGTAACTTTGTCCCTTTACCCCTTCACTCCCTTCTCCCTACACACACACACACTCCACACACACACACTCCACACACTCCACACTCCACACACACACACACTCCACACACACTCCACACACTCCACACACACACACTCCACACACTCCACACACTCCACACACACACCATACTCACACACACACACCATACTCACATGCACACACACTCACACACACCATACTCAGATACACACACACCATATATATACACACACACCATATATACACACACCATACTCATTACACACACACACCATATATACACACACACCATACTCATTACACACACACACCATACTCACATACACACACTCCACACACCATACTCACATACACACATCACACTCACTCCACACACACACCATACTCACATCACACTCTACCACTCACATACACACATCACACTCTACCACACTCATATAGACACACCAAACTCACATACACACACACTCCACACTACAACACCCACATATACACACACACCAAACTCACATACACACACACTCCACACTACCACACCCACATATACACACACAACTCACACCATACTCATCTACACACACTATACCACACTCGCACTCACACACTCCACACCACACCCACGTACGCCACACTCCACTCGCATACATACACTCCACACTCACTCCACACTCAACATACACACATCACACACTACCACACTCACATACACACACTATCCACACTCGCACTCACACACTCCACACTCCACTCACGTACACCACACTCCACTCACATACATACACTCTCCACACTCACCATACACACACACTACCCCACTCACACGACACTCGCATACATACACTCCACACTCAACATACACACATCACACACTACCACACTCACATACACACACTATCCACACACTCCACTCACGTACACCACACTCCACTCACATACATACACTCTCCACACTCACCATACACACACTACCCCACTCACACGACACTCTCATCACACCGCACGACGATCACACACCCTCACACCCCAACGTCGGCGCAGCATCACTCGGAGGTGGAGGCTCTGCTGGCCGAGTTCGAGGCGCTGCAGCTCAAGACCGTGCGGCTGCACAGAAAACTCCGGAGAGGGCCCCACGGCTCGGTGGCCAGGCCCAGGCAAAACCAGGCCCCAGCTCCGGGCGTGGATTCCGGCCCTCACCGCAACCCTCACCCCAACCCTCACCCCAACCCTCGCCCCAACCCTCACCCCAACCCTCACCCCAACCCTCACCCCAACCCTCACCCCAACCCTCGCCCCAACCCTCACCCCAACCCTCGCCCCAACCCTCGCCCCAACCCTCACCCACGGCGGGAATTGCCCGGCCGAAAAAACGTGGAGGCTCGCGAAACGGCGGCGGGAGACGTTCCCCCCAAACGGGCGTCGTCGGCCGAACCTTCGGGACGACGAGCGCCCCCGGGCCCCGAGATGGTCCGCGGGGACTCGGAGAAGATGGGCGGGGAGACGAGGAGGAGGTGGGGGGAGGAGTGGAGGACGAGGAGGACGAGGAAGAGGGCGAAGAGGGCGAAGAGGAGGCAGTCCCTTTCGGAGGCAGCAACGAGACGGGGGTACCCGGAGCGAGAGGACGGGTCGGCCCGCTCCGACGGCGATTTTGCGAACGGAGCCGGAGGCGCGGAGCGCGATGCGGGGACATCGAGCGGCGGGAGCTCGTTCCGGGCTCCGGCGCCGACTTCCCGGTCCGGGTCTTCCGCAGATTCCGGGCGCTGGGACGGAGGAGTGGGGGGAGAAGACCGCGGTGGGGGGGCGCCCCCCGCGAGGTGGACCAAGGTCGGGGGTTCGTGGAGGCGGAGCGGCCAGGAGCAGCCCCTCGCTCGCCCGGCCGCCTACGACGATTCGTAGGGAGGGGGGGGCGAGACGGAGACCGTCCCGGGCGGGGTCACGGTCAGGGCGGGGTCAGGGTCACGGTCAGGGCGGGGTCAGGGTGGGGTCACGGTCAGGGCGGGGTCAGGGTCACGGTCAGGGCGGGGTCAGGGTGGGGTCACGGTCAGGGCGGGGTCAGGGTCACGGTCAGGGCGGGGTCACGGTCAGGGCAGGGTCACGGTCAGGGTGGGGTCAGGGTGGGGTCAGGGCGGGGTCAGGGCGGGGTCACCGTCAGGGCGGCGTGGCTGGAGAGCCGCGAGGGCACCGTGGGGTCCCCACGATGCCGGAGCAGGCACCAGACGGGGGGCAATGGGGAAGCCGCCACCACCACCACCATCACCACCACCATCACCACCACCACCACCACCATCACCACCACCATCACCACCATCACCACCACCATCACCACCACCACCATCACCACCACCACAACCATCACCATCACCACCACCATCACCACCATCACCACCACCATCACCACCATCACCACCATCACCATCACCACCACCACCATCACCACCATCACCACCATCACCATCACCACCATCACCACCATCACCACCATCACCATCACCACCATCACCACCACCATCACCACCATCACCACCACCATCACCACCATCACCACCACCACAACCATCACCATCACCACCACCATCACCACCACCATCACCACCATCACCATCACCACCACCATCACCACCATCACCACCATCATCACCACCATCACCACCACCACCACCACCATCACCACCATCACCACCATCACCGCCACCACCATCACCGCCACCACCATCACCACCACCACCATCACCACCATCACCATCACCACCACCATCACCACCATCACCACCACCACCATCACCACCATCACCATCACCGCCACCACCATCACCGCCACCACCATCACCGCCACCACCATCACCGCCGCCACCGCCGCCGCCACCACCACCACCGCCCCAGGTGCAGGGTCCTGAGACTCACGGAATCTGGGCGTCAGGCTGTGGACAATAAACACTCAGGCTGCAGCGAAGGTGTGGGGCTGATTTTAATTTGTCAACGCGAGAACGCGGCAGCGGTGGTAGCGGCGGCAGCGGCAGCGGCAAATGAAGCCCCCAGAGACTCGTCAACACGACCGCCACGGCCCGCTGGGCCATTCTCCACGCACGCTTCTCCCGTGCTTCTCCCGTGCTTCTCCCGTTGCTTCTCCCGTGCTTCTCCCGTGCTTCTCCCGTTGCTTCTCCTACTGCTTCTCCCGTTGCTTCTCCTACTGCTTCTCCCGTGCTTCTCCCGTTACTTCTCTCACTGCTTCTCTCACTGCTTCTCCCACTGCTTCTCCCGTGCTTCTCCTGTTGCTTCTCCTACTGCTTCTCCCGTTGCTTCTCCTGCTTCTCCCGTTACTTCTCTCACTGCTTCTCTCACTGCTTCTCCCACTGCTTCTCCCGTGCTTCTCCCGTTGCTTCTCCTACTGCTTCTCCCGTTGCTTCTCCCGTGCTTCTCCCACTGCCTCTCCCGTGCTTCTCCCGTTGCTTCTCCTGCTGCTTCTCCCGTGCTTCTCCCGTTGCTTCTCCCGTGCTTCTCCCGTTGCTTCTCCCGCTGCTTCTCCTACTGCTTCTCCCGTTGATTCTCCCGTCGCTCCCCCAACGTCCGCGTCTTCAGGCTCAGCCCGTCGCCGCTTTCAGTTGTGCCGGAAGAGCTTGAGGCCGAGCCAGAGGCCCAGCCGCAGGGCCAGCAGCAGGGGCAGGGCGAGGGCGAGCAGAAGCGCCGCGTGGCACGGGGAGACGCCCCCCGAGGGGGAGGTGCAGCCGCCATCGCAGCCCCGCAGCAGGGCGCACGCGGGGAGCAGCGGCAGGGAGCAGGCGGGAAGCAGCACGGGAAGCACGGGGAGGAGCGTCGAGAGAGGGGGCAGCACCGGCATGGCTGTGGGGAGAGAGACACGGGGAGAGAGACACGGGGAGAGAGACACGGGGAGAGAGTCAGAGAGAGACACGGGGAGAGAGTCACGGGGAGAGAGACACGGGGAGAGAGACACGGGGAGAGAGTCACGGGGAGAGAGACACGGGGAGGAGCGTCGAGAGAGACACGGGGAGGAGCGTCGAGAGAGGGGGCAGCACCGGCATGGCTGTGGGGAGAGAGACACGGGGGGAGAGACACGGGGAGGAGCGTCGAGAGAGACACGGGGAGGAGCGTCGAGAGAGGGGGCAGCACCGGCATGGCTGTGGGGAGAGAGACACGGGGGGAGAGACACGGGGAGAGAGACACGGGGAGAGAGTCACGGGGAGAGAGACACGGGGAGGAGCGTCGAGAGAGACACGGGGAGGAGCGTCGAGAGAGGGGGCAGCACCGGCATGGCTGTGGGGAGAGAGACACGGGGGGAGAGACCCGGGGAGAGAGACACGGGGAGACACGGGGAGAGAGACACGGTGAGAGAGACACGGGGAGAGAGACACGGGGAGAGAGTCAGAGAGAGACACGGGGAGAGAGACACGGGGAGGAGCGACGAGAGAGGGGGCAGCACCGGCATGGCTGTGGGGAGAGAGACACGGGGGGAGAGACACGGGGAGAGAGACACGGGAGACACGGGGAGAGAGACACAGTGAGAGAGACACGGGGAGAGAGACACGGGGAGAGAGTCAGAGAGAGACACGGGGAGAGAGTCACGGGGAGAGAGACACGGGGAGGAGCGTCGAGAGAGGGGGCAGCACCGGCATGGCTGTGGGGAGAGAGACACGGGGAGAGAGTCAGAGAGAGTCACGGGGAGAGAGACACGGGGAGAGAGTCACGGGGAGAGAGACACGGGGAGAGAGTCAGAGAGAGACACGGGGAGAGAGACACGGGGAGAGAGACACGAGGAGAGACAGAGAGAAAGACACGGGGAGAGAGACACGGGGAGAGAGTCAGAGAGAGACACGGAGAGAGAGACACGGGGAGAGAGACACGGGGAGAGACAGAGAGAGAGACACGGGGAGAGAGACACGGGGGGAGAGACAGGGAGAGAGACGGAGCGAGAGAGAGACGGGGAGAGAGACAGAGAGACAGGGAGAGAGACAGGGAGAGAGACAGAGCAAGAGACAGGGAGAGAGACAGGGAGACAGGGAGGGAGACAGGGAGAGAGACAGGGAGGGAGACAGGGAGAGAGACAGGGAGACAGGGAGCGAGACAGAGCGAGAGACAGGGAGACAGGGAGAGAGACAGCGAGAGAGACAGGGAGACAGAGACAAGGAGGGAGAGACAGAGCGAGAGACAGGGAGACAGGGAGAGAGACAGGGAGTCAGGGAGACAGAGAGACAGGGAGAGAGACAGAGCGAGAGACAGCGAGAGACAGGGAGAGAGACAGGGAGACAGAGAGACAAGGAGGGAGAGACAGGGAGACAGGGAGAGAGAGAGACAGGGAGAGAGACAGGGAGAGAGACAGGGAGTCAGGGAGACAGAGAGACAGGGAGAGAGACAGGGAGAGAGACAGGGAGAGAGACAGGGAGAGAGACAAGGAGAGAGACAGGGAGAGACAGGGAGTCAGGGAGAGAGACAGGGAGAGAGACAGAGCGAGGGACAGGGAGACAGGGAGAGAGACAGGGAGACAGGGAGAGAGACAGGGAGTCAGGGAGAGAGACAGGGAGACAGGGAGAGAGACAGGGAGACAGGGAGAGAGACAGGGAGACAGGGAGAGAGACAGGGAGACAGGGAGAGAGACAGGGAGACAGGGAGACAGGGAGAGAGACAGGGAGACAGGGAGAGAGACAGGGAGACAGGGAGACAGGGAGAGAGACAGGGAGACAGGGAGAGAGACAGGGAGACAGGGAGAGAGACAGGGAGACAGGGAGAGAGACAGGGAGAGAGACAGGGAGAGAGACAGGGAGAGAGACAGGGAGACAGGGAGAGAGACAGGGAGAGAGACAGGGAGACAGGGAGAGAGACAGAGCGAGAGACAGGGAGAGAGACAGGGAGAGAGACAGGGAGAGACAGGGAGAGAGACAGGGAGAGAGACAGGGAGAGAGACAGGGAGAGAGACAGGGAGAGAGACAGGGAGTCAGGGAGACAGAGAGACGCGACTGCTGCTGAATAACAACTTGGCACGTCCGACAACACCACAGAGCGTGTGGCCTTAAAGGCAAATAATAAACAGGCAACGTTTCAGGCAGTGGCCCTTTTTCAGAATGCATCAATCAAATATTTCGCCGCTGCTGAGTTGCGTCTAGAGATTAAACATAGCACGGGGGTGGGGGGGGAGAGCCGCACAGATGGAGACAGGAAATCATGTCAGGGATGGCAACTTACACTGCACACTTTGATTGCTTAGCCAGGAGATGCCCCGAGTCTCGGGCCTCTCCTGGTGGTGACCCCCGGGGGTCACTCCCACGGTGATAACCACTCACCCACCTACTCACCCACCCACTCACCCACCCACTCACCCACCCACTCACCCACCCACTCACCCACTCACTCACTCACCCACTCACCCACCCACTCACCCACCCACTCACCCACTCACTCACCCACCCACCCACTCACCTACCCACTCACCCACCCACCCACTCACCTACCCACCCACCCATTCACCCACCCACAGTGATAACCACTCACCCACGGTGATAACCACTCACCCACCCACTCACTCACCCACCCACTCACTCACCCACTCACTCACCCACTCACTCACCCACTCACCCACCCACCCACCCACTCACTCACCCACCCACCCACTCACCTACCCACTCACCCACCCACCCACTCACCTACCCACCCACCCATTCACCCACCCACAGTGATAACCACTCACCCACGGTGATAACCACTCACCCACCCACTCACTCACTCACCCACTCACTCACCCACCCACCCACTCACTCACCCACCCACCCACCCACTCACCCACCCACCCACCCACTCACCCACCCACCCACCCACTCACCCACCCACCCACCCACTCACCCACCCACCCACCCACTCACCCACCCACCCACCCACTCACTCACCCACCCACCCACTCACCCACCCACCCACTCACCCACCCACTCACCCACCCACAGTGATAACCACTCACCCACTTACCCACAGTGATAACCACTCACCCACCCACTCACCCACTCACCCACCCACAGTGATAACCACTCACCCACTTACTCACCCACAGTGATAATCACTCACCCACAGTGATAACCACTCACCCACTTACTCACCCACAGTGATAACCACTCACCCACAGTGATAACCACTCATCCACAGTGATAACCACTCATCCACAGTGATTACCACTCATCCACAGTGATTACCACTCACCCACCCACTCACCCACAGTGATAACCACTCACCCACCCACTCACCCACCCACCGTGATAACCACTCACCTACCCACTCACCCACAGTGATAACTACTCACCCACCCACTCACCCACCCACTCACCCACCCACCCACTCACCCACACAGTGATAACCACTCACCCACCCACTCACCCACCCACAGTGAGAACCACTCACCCACTTACCCACAGTGATAACCACTCACCCACAGTGATAACCACTCACCCACCCCCTCACCCCCAGTGATAATCACTCACCCACAGTGATAATCACTCACCCACAGTGATAATCACTCACCCACAGTGATAACCACTCACCCACAGTAATAACCACTCACCTACCCCTCACCCCCAGTGATAACCACTCACCCCCAGTGATAACCACTCACCCACTTACCCCCTCACCCACAGTAATAACCACTCACCTACCCGCTCACCCCCAGTGATAACCACTCAGCTAACCCCTCACCCCCAGGGATAACCACTCACCCACCCACCCACTCACCCGCAGCGATAACCACTCACCCCCAGTGATAACCATCCAGTCACCCCCAGTGATAACCACTCACTCACCCACTTACTCACCCAATCACTCACCCAACCACTCATTAACCCGCTCACCCACCCCCACCCATTCACTCATTCACCTGTCTACCCATGCACTCGCCTACCCATTCACACACCACTCGCTCTACTCGCCCATTCGCTAACTCAATCACTCGCCCACCCATGCACATATTCACTCACCCACTCACTCATTCACTCGCACACCCACCCACCCAATCACGCACTCATTCACTCACCCACCCACGGAATCATTCACTCGCCCACTTATTCACTCGCCCACTCACCCACCCAATCACCCACTCACTCGCCCACTCACGCACTCATTCACACGCCCACCGACTCATGCACTCAGTCACTCGCCCACTCACCCACCCAATCACGCACTCATTCGCCCACTCATGCACTCACCCACCCACTCACCCACCCACGGACTCATTCACTCACCCACCCATGGACTCATTCACTCACCCACCCACGGACTCATTCACTCGCCCACCCACTCACCTACCCCGCTCACCCCCTCCTTACGAATGTCACGGGATCTTTACCGTGCACAAGGCGATGGACACGGGGTGTGTGTGTGTGGGGGGGATTGTTGAGCACGGCTCACGATACGCACCCCGCAGTATTAACCGGGGCGGCCCCGTCGCGTTCGAACCTCCTCCTCTACCGCGGCTCGGTCGCTCCGGGCTCCGAGCCTGCGGGCCGGTCCGCCCCGGACTTTGCTGGGGAATCCGAGTCGGATTCCGCGTCCGTGATTTTGCGAGCGTCCTCGGCGGTGAGGTGGGGGATTCCCTCCACGACGGGGAACACGAGGGCCAGCTCGTCGTTCACCAGCCAAGAGCGAGCCTCGTCCAGCCTGGCCGGGAGGGGCAGGGGGAGAGGGGGGGGGAGAGTGGGGGAGAGGGTGGGGGAGAGGGAAGGAGAGGCAGGGAGAGGGTGGGGGAGAGGGAGGGAGAGTGTGGGGGAGAGGGAAGGAGAGTGTGGGGGAGAGGGAAGGAGAGTGGGGGAGAGGGTGGGGGAGAGGGAGGGAGAGTGGGGGAGAGGGTGGGGGAGAGGGAGGGAGAGTGTGGGGGAGAGGCAGGGAGAGTGTGGGGGAGAGGCAGGGAGAGTGTGGGGGAGAGGGTGGGGGAGAGTGTGGGGGAGAGGGAGGGAGAGAGTGGGAGAGAGATTGGGGGAGAGGCAGGGAGAGTGTGGGGGAGAGGCAGGGAGAGTGTGGGGGAGAGGGTGGGGGAGAGGCAGGGAGAGGCAGGGAGAGGGTGGGGGAGAGGGTGGGGGAGAGAGTGGGGGAGAGGGAGGGAGAGTGTGGGGGAGAGGGTGGGGGAGAGTGTGGGGGAGAGGGAGGGAGAGAGTGGGGGAGAGGCAGGGAGAGGGTGGGGGAGAGGCAGGGAGAGGGTGGGGGAGAGAGTGGGGGAGAGGGAGGGAGGGTGGGAGAAGGGAGACGAACGAGGAATGGCAGGAAAGAGGTTTTCAGTGGGGTGAGTCTGTGGGTCTCTGTGTAGTGAGTCGGTGGTGAGTGATGACTCTATGGTTGTCTGTGGGTCTGTGTGAGTCTATGGTTCTCTGTGGGTCTATGGTTCTCTGTGGGTCTGTGTGAGTCTATGGTTCTCTGTGGGTCTGAGTGAGTCTATGGTTCTCTGTGGGTCTGTATGAGTCTATGGTTCTCTGTGTGAGTCTATGGTTCTCTGTGGGTCTGTGTGAGTCTATGGTGCTCTGTGGGTCTGTGTGAGTCTATGGTTCTCTGTGGGTCTGTGTGAGTCTATGGTTCTCTGTGAGTCTATGGTTCTATGTGGGCCTGTGTGAGTCTATGGTTCTCTGTGGGTCTGTGTGAGTCTATGGGTCTCTGTGTGAGTCTATGGTCCTCTGTGTGAGTCTATGGTTCTCTGTGTGTGTCTATGGTTTTCTGTGGGTCTGTGTGAATCTATGGTTCTCTGTGGGTCTGTGTGAGTCTATGGTTCTCTGTGGGTCTGTGTGAGTCTATGGTTCTCTGTGGGTCTGTGTGAATCTATGGTTCTCTGTGGGTCTGTGTGAGTCTATGGTTCTCTGTGATGAGTCTATGGGTCTCCGTGTGAGTATATGGGTCTCCGTGTGATGAGTCTATGGGTCTCCGTGTGATGAGTCTATGGGTCTCCGTGTGATGAGTCTATGGGTCTCCGTGTAATGAGTCTATGGGTCTGTGTGATGAGTCTATGGGTCTCCGTGTGATGAGTCTATGGGTCTCTGTGTGATGAGTCTATGGGTCTCTGTGTGATGAGTCTATGGATCTCTGTGAGTCTATGGGTCTCTGTTTTAGTCTATGGGTCTCTGAGTCTATGGATCTCTGTGAGTCTATGGGTCTCTGTGTGAGTCTATGGGTCTCTGTGTGATCGGTCTCTGTGATGAGTCTATGGGTCTCCGTGTGATGAGTCTATGGGTCTCCGTGTGATGAGTCTATGGGTCTCTGTGTGATGAGTCTATGGGTCTCTGTGTGATGGGTCTGTGTGAGTCTATGGGTCTCTGTGTGAGTCTATGGATCTCTGTGTGAGTCTATGGATCTCTGTATGAGTCTATGGGTCTCAGTGTTAGTCTATGGGTCTGTGTGTGATGAGTCTATTGGTCTCTGTGTGATGAGTCTATGGGTCTCTGTGTGATGAGTCTACGGGTCTCTGTGTGACGAGTCTATGGGTCTCTGTGTGATGGGTCTGTGTGAGTCTATGGGTCTCTGTGTGAGTCTATGGATCTCTGTGTGAGTCTATGGGTCTCTGTGTTAAGTCTATGGGTCTCTGTGTGAGTCCATGGGTCTCTGTGTGATGAGTCTATGGGTCTCTGTGTGATGAGTCTATGGGTCTCTGTGTTGGTCTATGGGTCTCTGTGTGATGAGTCTATGGGTCTCTGTGTGATGAGTCTATGGGTCTCTGTGTGATGAGTCTATGGGTCTCTGTGTGATGAGTCTATGGGTCTCTGTGTGATGAGTCTATGGGTCTCTGTGTGATGAGTCTATGGGTCTCTGTGTGAGTCTATGGGTCTCTGTGTGACGAGTCTATGGGTCTCTGTGTGATGAGTCTATGGGTCTCTGTGTGATGAGTCTATGGGTCTCTGTGTGATGAGTCTATGTGTCTCTGTGTGATGAGTCTATGGGTCTCTGTGTGGTGAGTCTATGGGTCTCTGTGTGATGAGTCTATGGGTCTCTGTGTGATGAGTCTATGGGTCTCTGTGTGGTGAGTCTATGGGTCTCTGTGTGATGAGTCTATGGGTCTCTGTGTGGTGAGTCTATGGGTCTCTGTGTGGTGAGTCTATGGGTCTATGTGTGAGTCCACAAGGCCTACTCCCCGTGAAGCCTCCACCTTGGCCTGGCCGAGCCTACCGAAGAGGGAGGCGGGAGAGCGGGCACACGAGCAAGGCGAGGTCGGGGGCCGCGAGCTGCGAGTGCGGGCGACGAGGAACCGGCACGCCGCGGCCTCTGCTGCTGATGTTGCTGCTGATGATGATGCTGCGGCCTCTGCTGCTGCTGATGATGTTGTTGCTGCTGATGATGTTGTTGTTGCTGCTGATGTTGCTGATGATGTTTCGTGTCCCTGGGAGGATTCTGAGTCGGGCAAAGAGCGAGGCCGACATGACGGCTCGTGACGTCACTGCCTGTAAGCGCGACACCGCCCAAGGGCGCCTTTAAAAAAAAGCTACGGCGTTGACGTCATTTGCAAGGTGCCCTTGATCGTGACGTCACCACGCGAGTGCTGCCGCGGTGATGACGCGTCTCTTCTAGATTTAAAGCTTTCGTGACTGCTAGGATCCATACTCCAGCGCTGTCCTACCAGACAGTCTCGTCCCTTCACCTGATGAAGGCCGCTTGTGTTGTGGCCGAAACGTCGTGAGAATATTATTGTGTTATTTTATTTTATAAATTTATTATTTTATTCTCATTCTACGTGACTTTACCGAAAGAACCAAAGAAGAGGATCCATACTCTTTGGTTCTATTGGGTAAAGTCACGTAGGTGAAAATAAAATAAAAAAAAATCACGACGTTTCGGCCACAACACAAGCGGCCTTCATCAGGTGAAGGGACGAGACTGGTAGGACAGCGCTGGAGTGAAAAAGCCACGCTTAGATCACGACCTTAAGCTGTGTGAGAAGAAACAAAGCGCCTTGACAAAGGAATTAGCATTGAATTTAGCATTGAAATGGCTGAGTGATTAGCTTGTAACTGGTCACAGAAATAGCTATGTTAAAGTTAGAGCATATACATTCACCGAGGCAACTACCGACCTCGCCTTGCTACCGACCTCGCCTTGCTCGTGTGCCCGCTCTCCCGCCTCCCTCTTCGGTAGGCTCGGCCAGGCCAAGGTGGAGGCTTCACGGGGAGTAGGCCTTGTGGACTCACACAGAGACCCATAGACTCACCACACAGAGACCCATAGACTCACCACACAGAGACCCATAGACTCATCACACAGATACCCATAGACTCATCACACAGAGACCCATAGACTCATCACACAGAGACCCATAGACTCATCACACAGAGACCCATAGACTCATCACACAGAGACCCATAGACTCACCACTAGGTACTAATCACTCAGCTATTTCAATGCTAAATTCTATGCTAATTCCTTTGTCAAGGGGTACCTCTGCGGATGTGTATACTTTAACTTAGCTATTTCAATGAGCCATTTCAATGCTAAATTCTATGCTAATTCCTTTGTCAAAGCCCGTGGTCTTCTTCTTCTCACACAGCTTAAATGTCGTGATCTAAGCGTGTCTTCTTCCACTCCAGCGCTGTCCTCCAGACAGTCTCGTCCCTTCACCTGATGAAGGCCGCTTGTGTTGTGGCCGAAACGTCGTGAGAATATTATTGTGTTATTTTATCAATTTATTATTTTATTCTCATTCTACGTGACTTTACCGAAAGAACCAACAATGATCTTCAGGCTCGTGACGTTCCCGCCACCCGTGTGCAGACAAGCTGTGGCCGTCATTCCTCAGCAATGATCTTAAGAATCATAACGTCATCGTCCGAGTGGACGTGATGACGTCACCCCGTGGCTAGTGAGAATCGTGACGTCACCACCACCCGAGCGGAGAGGCAACGGGATGACGCCATCCCTCTGCAAGAAATCTTCAGAATCGTGACGTCACCACCAGTGTAGACAATGTGATGACGTCATCTTTTAGCAAGTAATCTTGATAATTGTGACGTCGACGGCGCCGCGGTCGACGGGGAGGGGGCGAGTGACGTGTCCTCGTGAACGCTCCGGGAGGACGAAGCCGACGCTGCGCGGAGTGGGCGGAGTTTATAACTTGCCCCGCCTTCACCGTGACGAGTGGGCGGAGTTTATAACTTGCCCCGCCTTCACCGTGACGAGTGGGCGGGGTTTATAACTTGCCCCGCCTTCACCGTGACGAGTGGGCGGAGTTTATAACTTGCCCCGCCTTCACCGTGACGAGTGGGCGGAGTTTATAACTTGCCCCGCCTTCACCGTGACGAGTGGGCGGAGTTTATACCTTGCCCCGCCTTCACCGTGACGAGTGGGCGGAGTTTATACCTTGCCCCGGCTTCACCGTGACGAGTGGGCGGAGTTTATACCTTGCCCCGCATCCACCGTGACGAGTGGGCGGAGTTTATAACTTGCCCCGCATCCACCGTGACGAGTGGGCGGAGTTTGTAACTTGCCCCGCCTTCACCGTGACGAGTGGGCGGAGTTTATAACTTGCCCCGCCTTCACCGTGACGAGTGGGCGGAGTTTATACCTTGCCCCGCCTTTACTGTGACGAGTGGGCGGAGTTTATAACTTGCCCCGCCTTCACTGTGACGAGTGGGCGGAGTTTATAACTTGCCCCGCCTTCACCGTGACGAGTGGGCGGAGTTTATAACTTGCCCCGCCCTCACCGTGACGAGTGGGCGGAGTTTGTAACTTGCCCCGCCTTCACCGTGACGAGTGGGCGGAGTTTATAACTTGCCCCGCCTTCACCGTGACGAGTGGGCGGAGTTTATAACTTGCCCCGCCTTCACTGTGACGAGTGGGCGGAGTTTATAACTTGCCCCGCCTTTACTGTGACGAGTGGGCGGAGTTTATAACTTGCCCCCCGCCTTCACTGTGACGCTGTGACGAGTGGGCGGAGTTTATAACTTGCCCTGCCTTTACCGTGACGCTGTGATGAGTGGGCGGAGTTTATAACTTGCCCCGCCTTCACTGTGACGCATTGCGTGTTTACTGTAGTGTATACTGTAGTGTAGTGTATAGAGTAGTGTATAGTGTAGTATATACTGTAGTGTTTACTGTGTATACTGTAGTGTATAGTGTAGTGTATACTGTAGTGTAGTGTATACTGTAGTGTTTAGTGTAGTGTATAGTGTATACTGTAGTGTATAGAGTAGTGTATAGTGTAGTATATACTGTAGTGTATACTGTAGTGTATAGTGTAGTGTTTACTGTGTATACTGTAGTGTATACTGTAGTGTATAGTGTAGTGTATACTGTAGTGTAGTGTATACTGTAGTGTTTAGTGTAGTGTATACTGTATAGTGTAGTGTATAGAGTAGTGTATACTGTAGTGTATAGTGTAGTGTATACTGTAGTGTAGTATATACTGTAGTGTATAGTGTAGTGTATGGTGTAGTGTATACTGTAGTGTAGTGTTTACTGTAGTGTATACTGTAGTATATACTGTAGCGTATACTGTAGTGTATACTGTAGTGTAGTGTATACTGTTGTGTATAGTGTTGTGTATACTGTAGTGTATACTGTAGTGTAGTGTTTACTGTGGTGTATAGTGTAGTGTATACTGTTGTGTATACTGTAGTCTATACTGTAGTGTAGTGTATACTGTAGTGTATAGTGTAGTGTATAGTGTAGTGTATACTGTAGTGTAGTGTATACTGTAGTAGTTTATACTGTAGTGTATAGTGTAGTGTTTACTGTAGTGTATAGTGTAGGTGTATACTGTAGTGTTTACTGTAGTGTATACTGTAGTATATACTGTAGTGTATACTGTAGTGTAGTGTTTACTGTAGTGTATAGTGTTGTGTATACTGTAGTGTAGTGTTTACTGTGGTGTATAGTGTAGTGTATACTGTTGTGTATACTGTAGTGTAGTGTATACTGTAATGTATAGTGTAGTGTATACTTTAATATATAGTGTAGTGTATACTGTAGTGTATAGTGTGGTGTATAGTAGTGTATAGTGTAGTGTATAGTGCAGTGTATAGTAGTGGTGTATAATAGTGTATTGTGGTGTATAGTGTAGTGTATAGTGGTGTATAGTGTAGTGTATAGTCTAGTGTGTAGTGTATAATAGTGTATATTAGTGTATAGTGAAGTGTATAGTAGTGTATAGCGGTGTATAGTAGTGTATAGTGTAGTGTATAATAGTGTATTGTATAGTGTAGTGTATAATAGTGTAAAGTGTAGTGTATAATAGTGTAAAGTGTAGTGTATAAGTGTATACGTGTATAGTGTAGTGTATTGTAGTGTATAGTGGTGTATAGTGTAGTGTGTAGTGTAGTATATAATAGTGTATAGTGGTTAAATTTCGATTTAAAGCTTTCATGACTGCAATGATTCATCTTCTTTGGTTCTTTCGGTAAAGTTACGTAGAATGAGAATAAAATAATAAATTGATAAAATAAAATAAATAAGTCCTACCAGACAGTCTCGTCCCTTCACCTGATGAAGGCCGCTTGTGTTGTGGCCGAAACGTCGTGAGGATATTATTGTGTTATTTTATTTTATCAATTTATTATTTTATTCTCATTCTACGTGACTTTACCGAAAGAACCAAAGAAGAGTGTATAGTGGTGTATAGTGTAGTGTATAATAGTGTATAGTGTAGTGTGTAGTGTATAATAGTGTAGTGGGTAGTGTATAATAGTGTAGTGTATAGTGGTGTATAGTGTCGTGTGTAGTGTATAGTGTAGTGTATAATAGTGTATAGTGGTGTATAGTGTAGTGTATAATAGTGTAGTGTGTAGTTTATAATAGTGTAGTGTATAGTGTAGTGTATAGTGTATTGTATAGTGTAGTGGATAATAGTGTATAGTGGTGTATAGTGTAGTGCAGACTGTAGTGTATAGTGTAGTGTATAATAGTGTATAGTGTAGTGTATAGTGTAGTGTATAATAGTGTAGTGTGTAGTGTATAGTGTAGTGTATAATAGTGTAGTGTGTAGTGTATAGTGTAGTGTATAATAGTGTATCGTGTAGTGTATAGTGTAGTGTATAGTGTAAATTTCGATTTAAAGCTTTCGTGACTGCAAGGATTCATCTTATTTGGTTCTTTCGGTAAAGTCACGTAGAATGAGAATAAAATAATAAATTGATAAAATAAAATAACGCAATAATATTCTCACGACGTTTCGGCCACAACACAAGCGGCCTTCATCAGGTGAGGGGGACGAGACTGTCTGGTAGGACAGCGCTGGAGTGAAAGAGCCACGTTCAGATCACGACCTTTAAGCTGTGTGAGAGGAAACAAAGCGCCTTGACAAAGGAATTAGCATATAATTTAGCATTGAAATGGCTGAGTGATTAGCTTGTGACTGGTCACAGAAATAGCTATGTTAAAAGTTAAAGCATACACATCCGCAGAGGCACCCCTTGATAAAGGAATTAGCATATAATTTAGCATTGAAATAGCTAAGTTAAAGCATACACATCCGCAGAGGCACCCCTTGACAAAGGAATTAGCATAGAATTTAGCATTGAAATTGCTGAGTGATTAGCTTGTAACTGGTCACAGAAATAGCTACGTTAAAGTCAGAGCATACACATTCACCGAGGCA